TCAACTAGAGATTCTCTGTCCCTTCTTCCAAAACTCTCCTCACAAACCACCCTCCTTCCCCCCCACCAGTCTCTTGTCCGACCTGATCCCTCAATCAGGCTCTCACTCGCCCCACTTCCTCCAGGCGGTGTAGACAATCTCAAGGCCCTGACCGTTTTTTTGCTAATGTGGTGGAAGTACAGTGAGTGCACCGGCTGCAGCTTGTTCAGGGAGGGATTCTACTAATGGATGCAAATGGGAAAGAAATGTATTAGCAAACAAGGACACAAGAGTCAGCAAAACTAAGCGACTAATGATTTGACAGACGCGACTAATGACTTGACAGACGCTGTTTAAAAAGAGCTTAGTTTCAAAGGGTTTCCAATACAATTTTCACTTAAAGGGCCTGTATTACGCCATTTTATGTTCTATGCTATAATGTTGTTTCTGCATCAAAAACAGTTGTGTTTTGTTTCATTCACACATGTTTAACACACAAACCCTGCATATTTAGGTAGCTGTTAACTTGAAAACTACCACTACATGACATCACAAGGAGGAACAGAGCATTTTGAGCTTTAGAGATGTAGACAGAGCAATAACAAAGGGTTACTCAAACGTGTGACTGAAAACACAACTCCAGGAATGTTTTTGATAAGGTAGCAGCATTATAACCTAACCTAAAGCTCAGGAGACAGTTTTGCGTAATATAGGTTCTTTAATGATGCACTATATAACTTTTCTGGTGGGCAGATCCGCCACCTCCATGTCTTCACAAAGATGTCATTACTTCTCCTACAATGTTCCACTGAAAAGCATTAAACATATCTTCAGTTTAAGGAGTTGAAATTAGTGCTTAAAAAATACCATAAACGTATAAACTGTACCTTGGTGTTACCTGCTTGTCTCCATAAAGATACTGTAAGATTCATGTTGTACTGTGAAGCAATCTCCGTAACGCTATAATATCTTCACAGAGACCACCAGAAAAGTTACACAGTGCACCTTCAAGGCCTTAAGCAAATATTCTGTGTGATTTGTCAACAATGCCGCACATGGCAGAACATACTAGCATTAAGTGACAGACCGGCATGTTATGACGCATTAAATTCCCGCCATCTTAGTCACTTGACAACTTTCTCTGCCAAAACAACGTAACCAGGAAAAGGTGGCCATTTGCCAAATTTCACAAATGCAAATATTCAAAAACAACGCATATCTAACAGAACACCTGAGGGCGAGTAGTAGAGTTGACTTGAGGTGGACTAAGGGGATGTTAAGTTAAGCTGCTACAGAGGAGGGGAGCCCCAGAGGTACAGCTGATCTCATAAGCAGGTACAGCGGGTCCTGGCTTGCTCCTTCATGTAGACCTACAGCAAAAATAGTGATCCAGCGAAATCTTTTCTTCTACTACTGCTTCTAAAATATTTCTAAAATTATCTATATATAATAATGGTGAAAATTATGGACAATGCAAAACATTTACAGTAATGCTCTATCTGAAATGTTGTACAGAAGATTAACTGACCAGATGATCAGGACTTCCTTAATAGTCAACTTTAAATGTATGTATCAAGATTGGTGGCACAGAATAATCATCAGTAGTGTTTTCATTAGATTGTAATTTATGTTTTATGCACACACAATGTAATGTTGATAATGTACAATAAAATAGATTTAAGTTTTTCAAATTCTGCTAACTCAGGTTTATCTGAAAAGAGGGACTATTGAGCTGTTAGAAGACAAGCCCCAAGGAAGTCCTGATAATCTTCTTAATCTTTATGGGCTAATGGGGCCTTTACCTAACACTGCCTCCAATCATCTCCCCGTTTCACTTAAAGAGAGTCTGTAACTGCCTTTATTGGGGTGGTGACAGCCTAAAGACCACCTGTGCAAGGGGCCAAACGTGCAATACAAACTATGAGGGGAATAGACCTGTCCATGCACGCACAACCAAAATGATAAACAGCCATCTCCTGACCCCTGCATGCTGTTTAGACGCGTGATCTTATTGATGCGGCCACGGGGCAGCTCACTCTCTCGCTCCCCCCACCCTTCCTCCTCTCCCCCCCCTCTCTCTTTCCTACTAGGAATGCCTGCGCACTCTCCCTTAGCCATAGACAAACACTTGGGACGTTCAGGTATGTCGTTTACATGGAACTTTCTGACACTGAGCTCAACCAGAACAATTCGTCTTTGTAGGTCGTCCATCATCCATGAGCAAGTCAGAACAGCACTGTAAATATAGCACACATCAGCCACAATAGGGGAACAAGCCTGGACTATTGGGAAACAGAGGGATCATCCAGCGAGACATTTAAATCTACGAATTAGATGGAATTAAACACGTGATGCAATTCAAAATAAAGCCACGTTTTTCAGTAGTTTCTCATAGAGGTGGGTAATATATACTAGTGAGTTTTAAGCCATGTTAGCTCATCAAAAACATATCTGGAGTTGCGTTTTGTTTCATTCACACATGTTTGAGTAATCCTTTATTATTAGTCTGTCTACATTTCTAAAGCTCAAAATGCACTGTTACACCTTGTGATGTCATGTAGTTTTCAAGGTAACAACTACCTTTGACCTTTTATTCAGTAGAAATGGGCAAATCCTGATCTGAAATTACCCAAATGTATCTAGTGAAGGTGTATGGAGTTTTCTGTTTTATGCAGAGTTTGTGCGTTATAACATAGATCAGAAAATAGCGTAATATGGGACCCTTTAAGCTTAAGGTGACCAAATAATTTTTATTTGAATAACTTCATCTCATTCTCATTCTTAATATTTAAGCACAAATTTTTGAAAGTTTATGATGCCGACATATAGTCCAGGTTATTTTTAGACAATGGAGATCCACCATAGTCTACATGTGGACAACTACCCAAAAGCTGCAAAACAAATACATAAAAAGAAAAAAAGATGGCATTGTTATCTTTCAGGGTTTAAATGATTATTATAGTGTTTTCATTTCAGAGTTCAAATTTGTGGAATAGCAAATAGCATTTGTGATGGGTAGCAAAAATATTATAATAATTCTATTAAAATCCAAACATTGAGATATTATTTTTTGTCAATATTGCCAGGCACTAGTTTACACAGTAAAAGAGTGAGGCAGATCATTATGGGTTACTCCTGCTGATAACATAATGAGGGGGAGATGCTTGGGGGTGAAATTCCTGCACAGTAACAGTAGTGAATGGGCCCCCCTGTACAAGACGAATTATGCCTGCGGGTCAGAAAGTCCAGATCCAATGGTGCAGTTTTGAAAGGAAAATTACATTAGTCAGAGATAAGTGGGTTTAGCCAAATGAAGGGGCTCAATTCATGTCCAGTAAGTGATGATACGCCGCATCAGAATGAGACAAGCTAAGGTCAGGGCTGTCTGCAGATAGAGCTGCTGTGATGGGTACATGAGAGATAGATAGACACTGAACAGGAATCTAAAAGTCAAATGTAATCGTGTGGTAGTAGACAGGAGTAGCTTCTTGTCTTGATACAATGAGCCCATTATTATGAATGAGTGTTACTAGTAGTGATCTATGAGGAAACTTATATCGGCTGTTTTTCAATCTTTTAAACACAGACTGTATAAAGAAGTGGACTAAAGGAGTGCAACGTTACCCATAGCATTTGGCTCCTGTCAAATGAAGCTCACGAGGTTGGCAGAGTTCCATACTGGAATAGGAATTTATTTACAGACAAAATAGCAAAATAAAAACACCAGGATCATGTAGAGAGTGTTAATACGAACATTTTAAGACAAAATGACAAGGCTCATTGCAGCAGTTACATGGAGAGGGGTGACAATTTTTCAATGTAAAGACAACTGGAGCTGGAAGCGCCCCCATGAACACTTGCTATTTTAGACTTAGACAGACTTTATTGATCCACAAGGGAAATTACTTGGACACAGTAGTTCACATTACATTATATTACAATAACACCGAGTTAAAACTGTTTTAAAATGGTAATGAACTTCTTAATAAGTAGCAATACAAAAGCAAGAGACTGGAATTATTTGGAATGTGACGGTCATTTATATATAGAGTCTATGCTTCAATACAAATTTTGTGGTCCCATTGGGCGTAGAAGAGGCTCACATTAAATGAGCTATTATTACCTATTTCTCATTCTGCCCACATTTCTGTTAATAACCCCTATATGACTAATTGCTCATTATAACAATTACTACAACTGCCAAATTAAGGAGCTTGTGCTTCTCCTTTTAGTGCTTTAACTATTATTACCGTGACAAATCTGGTACATTGAGGGACAGTCAACATAAAAGGATTTCAAATTTAGGTCATACTCATGACTGCATATTTGTAATATATTTAAAAGACAAATCCACAAAAGTTGAACCTGATCATTTATGTAGTGACTAAGTGCTTGAAGTTGCTACCAAAATCTCCAACTGTTTTACATGACTGTCCCCCATCTACTTTAAATATTATAGTTAATTGTATGTTGATGCCAGCAACAACTGTCTGATTCTAGTGAAGGTTTATGGAGTTTAAAACCACAGTGGAGCACTTCCTTTGTTACCACAGAGCATCACAAGGTGGATCAGACTGTTTTCTGTTTGAGAGAGGAACAAAACACAACGCCAGGTATGTTCATGATGAGGAAACATTATAGCATAGATTAGAAAATAGCCTAATTTAGACCCTTTAACTCTATACATTGAAGAAGTACTAGAAATACCGGAAGAAATCAAAGTATTTACAGTTTTATGACAGTAATGACTAATGCCCGTCTAAATCATTATCATCATTATTAACATCTGACATTTTGTAATAGTAAATAAACTCATGTCCCGTGAGGTTATCAGAGGAGGAAGAATGCTAGAAGGCATCACACGCAACTTTGCAAATTGGTCAAAGAGCGTGACCAGAAAGCGTCTCTGTGGCTAGCTACGTAAACCATTTCCTTCATGGTGCTGACAGATCCTGAATCAGCGCACCACTTCCCACTTCAAACAGTATTTAGTGCACAGAGTCGAAAAGAGTTAATAATTGCATACCTGTAGGGAGGGAGAGCCAGAGAAGAAGAAGAAGTATGTACCATGTTTTGTCTACATTGGGGCCCACAAGCTCTAACTGCCAACTGAGCAGAGGACCTGTCATTCTGCTTGGACGGGTTAGTCATCTTTACTGTTTACATCGCTCTCATTAGATCTACTCTCACTCCAAAACAAGTGTGTAATAGTCATGTGAGGTAACCGGCAGCCTGTCAACTTTAATCACGCTTCTTTGATCAAATATGGTGCCATCATTTGACATACACAATTTAAAACTTTTGGTCTCGCGTCAAAAGATAAAGTCTACCCCATGGATCTTCTCTTACCTGCCTGCCATCTTTGACTAAACTATATGCGGCTTTATCATTTTCCTCATATTGCAGTGCACACAATATTGAACTGATTGAAAGTGATTTTTCTCATAACGGCCATTGAAAACTTTTCTATATGTTCTTATGTATCAAAATGCATTTGATTAAATTAGTATAGGGACCAGTTATATTAAAATTTCAGCTTCTGTCAGTAGCCATTTGGACGTAACATTCTTCTCTTGGTGTTTTTAATCCCCCATGTGAAGATTTTCTGCTTAATTTGACAGAAATTATAGGCCTGCCCTTCTCTCCAGCTGAGCACTGTAAATCATTTGAGTTTGACAGTGTGTGTTGTGCTGCAGCGGCATGCACTTTTCCTCACAAGTCCGGGGCATGTTTTTATTCCCATTCCCACGTTCTTCTCCCGGGAACTTTAGGAGTTACCATGGAAACTGATGAATTCCCGGGACAACCACGCTGCTGCCAGCTGAGCTCCCCCCTCCTCACCCCTCCTCGCTTCGCTGCTGCCCCACGTGCAACAAGGGAACTTGGCTTAAGTTCTTCAACTGCTTTGAACTCTTTCCCTTTGACTTCTGGGAAAACTTGAGCTGCTCCTCTAACTTTTAAAATCCCCATGTAACTGCATTTTTCCTTACCACAACTTTTAGGCTGAGCTCACTAAACAGTCCAAGTTTGCTTGCTGTTGTAAAGGGCATTAGTGTGTATGTATGGTGTTTTTGTTTTATCTTGTTATCCACACAAATTAGACTTGTGGCCTCAATTTCCTTCCTCGGGGTAATCCATATGCCAGAATTTCACAACAAATCCACTAACACATTTTACACCCACATGTTAGCAATAAAAGAGCTAATCAGATTACCAAGGCAAGGCCACGCAACAACATGTAGTATCAAGGTTTGAGGGGGGCTAATTATAAAACATTATGAACTAAGAGAATAATGAATATTGCTGTACAAAATGTGCACTTTAATGCAACGCATTCAGGTGTAATAACGGATGATCTTTGAGGGTTTATATGTTTGTGTTTGGCTTTGTCAGGGGCTTTAGAAAAAGCACGCCAAAGGAAATTATGACAGTTTCAGCAACCTTCCCTCCAAAAGGTTATAATTTCATAATGTACTGTGTTGTTGTGGGTAAATATAGGCCTACTTAGCCCTCTACGGTTAACTTCTATAAGTTGGGAATACTTTAATTCATATTCGGGTTCTACAATTGTTTACATTTTAATATCATTTAGTGTAAAATGCTCACCAACACAGAGGCAGATGACATCCAGGCCGACCAGCACTCGCCTCTTGGTGCACAGAGGTGTCTGCTCCGGCTGCTGGCTCAGAAAGTGTTTTCCAGCTCCGTTCTCCTTGCTCTCTCCCGAGGCTCCACAGTCAGCCAGCCGCAGCTGGAGGTCTGCGTCCCGGGGCAGCGTGTCGCTGTGGCCGCCGGTGGAGTTAAACTTCTGCATGTCCGTGTGTCAAACCGCCGGCTATAGGCTACGAGCGCGTTCAGAGAGATGTGCGCGGCGGGTAGATTGTGTAAAAAGTCCTAAGTTTTTAGTCTCGCTGTCGCCCATGCAGCAAACCCATGTCAACGAGTTTGACAGCGTGAACTTGGTCCAAAGCCGCTTGTTAGCGCGGGTGACTCACAGTTGTTTTTCTGAAGTAAAAGTTGAAAGTAAAAGTCCATGAAACCTTCGTAAAACGATGTGGATGTTAATTAAAACTCCTGACGACCTAAAACTTTTGTGATCTCCTAAACTTTTACTGGGAGCGTGTTCTGGCTCTGCTCTCCCACAAGACATCCATCTGTAAAGCGCGCACAATGACCTCCCCACTGTTAGTTTTACGCCTTCAAAGTAAAACACGGCCGGAGGAAGTGCTCTTGTGTACACAATAACATGTGGTAACGACGTTTATTGCACCGGTATTCGGTTGTATCCTTGGAAGTGCCCGCATTGAATTGACGCGTTGAATTGAGCCCGTGTACAGCAAAATCGAAGTTTAACGATCAGCCTGGGGGTCACAGCATGTTCGATCCACCTGACCCGCCTGTGTAATGACCGCACAGTCTATGGTAATGACCCACTCCCAAAAGAGCGGCCCCGGTCCCGTTAAAGCGCCCCGCCTCCGCCGCGGCCTGCATTACCTCACAGGCAAACGACATGGGAAGAGACACTCTAAAACTTTTTACATGGGGTTAGGCTACTTCAGTAAAATGTAGACATCCCACAGGCAGCATAACCTAGGCCTATACTCATGGCTTATTTTATTTTATTTTATTTTACTTTATTTTAGGGACTTAATTATTATAGGGAGAATACATCCAAAGTTATCTGCTACAGTATTTCTGACATTTGGCATTTATAGTCCCTCAGTGATTGATAGACATTTATTGTAAAGTCTCCTGTTTAAAGGAGGTTACAGGTTTAGATTTTCCACTTTATGGTAAAGTGCTTGGCTGATGGTTTATACACAGTGCGCTCAGCCCGAGACAGACAGATGTTGGCGTTATGCTCACTCTTTGTAGTTTTCTGCCATCTGCTGTAAAGACTGCAGCACTTCAGAAGACGATGCACGACATGATACATGGATTTAGACGTGTCCTACTGACAATTGGCTTTTTTAGGGATAGTCTAAACTTATAGTCGTGTATATTTCCAACTATTTAAATGAGCATTAGTTGTTTTAATAATTGTGCTTTGTTTCTTTGACAGGAAAGAGACTAGACTATCACAAGTAAGGATTGTAGGCTGGGCTACGTAGCTACGAATAAAGCATCCAGATTGACTGATTTATTTTTTTTCCCCCCATACTTTATTGATTCTGCAAGTTTTTGTTTTTTTTTTTGTATTATTGTAAGTGTATTTGCTGATCACTAGATGGCAGTAAATGTCTTTTTGTGGCGAGCAACTGTTAAATGCTGATTCGAGGGTAGAGTAGCCAAAATGTACTCCAGAGTAACATTACTTCAAAATAACACTAATCAAATAGAAGCACAAAGTACTAATCTAAGAAATTACTCAAATAAGAGTAAAAAAGTAGGCTATTTGGGGAAAACTAGACCTGCTCAAGTAACTTAAAGAGTAACTGCTGGAGCATAACTGTTTTATAATTTGAAGTGAATTGTAATTGGACAAAATGTTAAAATAATGCACAAAAGCTGATATTTTCAAAGTATACACACACAATTAGACAAACTTAATCATATCTGAAGGCGCAGTGCAAGAAACAAATCAGTTCATCTTGTCAACAAAAAGCTTTTGTCAATTGTAGACTTACTCACAGTGGGAAGAGGAACCAAAACTTACTCACAGAAGAGTGCTGTTACACCAATATATTACTAAAGTAATAGTAAAAATATGCGGTGAGAAAAGTACCACCTCTGATGCAGATACCCAATAAAGTGCAGAAAGCTATAAGAAAGTGTCAAGATAGTGTCCATGTAAGTAAAAATACATTTTCTAAAACTCCATGGGTAAATGTATGGTAGTTATAATATTCAAGTTGTATACTTCTAGTTCATTCAAACTATTTTATATGACTGCTCACTTTCCGCAACTTTCTTTGTTTCAACAGAGTAGATACAAAGACACTGAAGCAATGCATGAGTAGCTTAATCCTGTATTTGAAGTTTGAGTGTTCATAAAAAAACAAAAATAAAATAAATCTTTGTCACCTATTCCCACCCCCAGCTTTGTGGCCTATTACAATAAAAAAAAAAAAAAAGTTGCAATGGTCGAACTGTGAAATACCAGAAAATGTACAAGAGGCCAATGTGTTCTTTAAAGGTTAGGGGAGCAGGTCAAACTGTCCACTGCTGTAACCACTTCTTTCATTGTCAGTGAATGATGAAAGCACATTAGCAGTTTGGTGCAAACATATAACAAAAACCAAAAGTAATAATGAAATAAGAGGAAGACATAAATACATATTAAAAGCATGAAATAAAACAAAATACTGTATATAGACTAAAATGGACAGCATGGACTATGTGGAGACGGTTTTCACTGTGGTCATCTAGACACTGTTTTTGCAGTCAAGATGCTTCATCTCCATCCATTTTCAATTTGATGGAACTGGCTTGAAGCATTCTAACCTGAGTTTATTGAGTCCAGCCCCAAAAGGAGGAGTTTTAGAGTGAAATTGACCTGCCATTGTTTACTTGTTATTATTATGGGCTGTTATTGTGTGCTAGTATTGTGTTGTGTATTGGCTGTCTCACCTGAACATGACGGGATGTCTTCATGTTCAAGGACTGGGAATACTTCTGTAAACAGCTGATTATATCTGATTCCACCATTTCAAATAATACCTAAATAATAAAATAATTATAATAAAATAAATCAAAGCCAGTTCCAACAAATTGAAATGGTTTCTGGAAGGGAGCTGAAACCGAGAGACTGCAGTTGAAACTCTAAACGCTGAACCTTTGCTGGATCAATGAGGGCTTCACACTATCTCAAAATAAGGAGTGTAAATAATATTGCCAGTATTTTGAAAGTAGGTCTAACATTTTTTGTAATCATGACCTTTTCTTCAGAAGTAAATTGTTAGGGAAATGAGTGTTTTCCCCGTACTATAGGTTGCTAACTCCCGGCAGGAGAATTTTTACTGTCAATGTGGGACAATCCACACATTGTGCTACTGACCCTGTTTATGTTTCCTTTGTCAAGTGTTGTATAGACTAAAATGACATAGGTCTTCCATTGGGTTTTCCACAAAGAAATACCTGCTGCAAGGGATATGTTCCTTCTTAATATTTATCACTCTCCTTTAGCTTGCTGCTGCTACCTACATCATTTGACATTTATTTTGTTCCATATGAGACATTTATTCATTGTATGGGAATTCTGACCTCAATATCGAAAGCAGTCTACAGACTTCTCTTTTACATTTGGGCGTTTTATCTACAGACCCACAAGACTTTCCCCACTTTTATGTGAGCAGTATCTGATATAAAAACAAATGTGCCCTCATAAATGCTGCTGCCTTATAGAGCTCTTGGAATTACCACAGTGGAACATGAGATGGCTGCATGTCTGGGCATGTTGTATTCACCTAAACTGTATACATAAAGCTTACTCAGTAGACAGGTGTAAAGTCTGCTCTGCTGACACAAACCTGGACCAGAAGCATCCTGTTTTGTTACCACAAAACTTTCCCTGGGCAAAGAGCACACAACAAAGTGATATTACATTCACTATCAGACTGTTCAGCTGCACACAGGGAAATCCAGCCATTATAAAGTTAATCTAAATGACATTTCATAATCAGCTGTGATGAATCAATTCTTCTTCTATCAGCTTTTTGGATGACCATAATGTCATCAGTATTTTTGCCAAATTTACTGAATATTTGGGGGGCGCCTCCCTCGGGAGGTGTTCCGGGCATGTCCCACCGGTAGGAGGCCCCGGTGAAGACCCAGGACACGCTGGAGGGACTATGTCTCTCAGCTGGCCTGGGAACGCCTCGGGGTCCCCCCGGAGGAGCTGGAGGACGTGTCTGGGGTGAGGAAGTCTGGGAGTCCCTGCTTAGGCTGCTGCCCCCGCGACCTGGCCCCGGATAAGCGGATGAAAATGGATGGATGGATTTGGTCACAGTTTTTACTATGTGGGCTAATAACACACAAACACATGGTGGGCTAATAGAGGTTAAAGGAGGTCAAGTTGATATTACATTTTGTTCTCAAACATTTTATTAAAGGTAGGTCTAGTGAAGCCTAAATGTGTGTCTCCAATGCCTCTTTTTTGTATCTGTGAATATTATTAATACCTTATGCAGTGAAGTGTGCCCAAGTGTGATACTAGTTATGATAGTAATTGTTTTCTCATGTGAAATAGTAGTAATAGCAGTGGTATTATAGGTCTATACACAGAGTATTAGTGGAAGCAGCAATGAAAAAAAAAAAAAAAAAAAGATGTATTGACACTTTGCAGCAGATGTCATTAGCATTCCCTGGGCCTGTGATGCAAACTCTAGGCTTTGCTCTGTCTGAAGCTCCATTAGACTTTAATCTATTAACACAATCTGACTATAAAGAACTGACGCAGTTGGAACTACAACAGGTGGGCTGAAAACTTTTTTTGACAGCGTTTGCTAATGTGTGCATTGTCTCTCCATGACAACATTCCACCATAGATATATACATAGAACACCCCAGCATGATGCCATTGCACTGTATCAACTGGATGCTGATTTTTTTCATCACTGCAATCTCTGAGATTTATATCAAAAATCGTGGGATACTTCTTTCCATTATTATTTCTAAAGCATAAAAATAGCCTACTGAATTTGTCACTATACCCACTCATGAAAAATAAACAATGTCTTACAAATGTCATTATTTCTTGCTGACCTTTACACTAATAGTTTCATTAAGTACTTTTCTATGTTTTGTCATCCTATACATGACGATGACACAACCGACCACATTAAAACAGAAGTTGATCATGATTCATGGTAGTTCTCCTATTTTCCTTTCCTGACTGGTGAATCTGTCTCCATTTATCTTGTATAGTACAGCAAATAAAAGAAAGGGCCTGTCCCAGTACTGTGCACATGCGATCTCACTCCGCTGTTTGTCTGTTTGTCAGGGGAAAGTACCATCTTTGTAGTATTAAAAAGACACTCAGGAGGAGGCAGTGATCAGAGACTTCAGGAAGCTGTTACACTGCTACTGCTGCTGTCACTGCACACTGAGGAAACTACGCACAACACTTCTCATTTCGTCTCATTTTCACTTCTCAGTTTGTCACTAACTTTTGTGAGACCCCCAACCCTGACGATGTCCCAGTCCAAACACAAGACCCTGATCCGAGTGCTGCTGTGGTGGGTTGCCCTGCTGTCCGTCTGCCAGGCTGCTCTGTTGGTGCTGTTCTTTACTAAGGGGCACTTTGGGAAGGTAAGGCTACTATAACTTATTTCCATACTTTATAAAATACACAGAAATGGTAGATATAATGAAATATTTAGCAAAAATAATAATCATTAGAAATGTGTGGCTTCATCAGTGTAAGGTTTTGTAGTAGTGTGGCACCTGTGCACTACAGCTGCACTCTGATGTGGTCGCAGGTGCTGAGTAACTCAGCATGTGCGCCGTATTTGACAATATCATAACATGACATCATAACAACGATATGCATATTTTTCGTTAATTTTTTATCTTTTTTTTTTGTTGTTATTTTGAGTTTTCCCTAATTCCAATACAAACTATTTATTAAAGGTTCTATATAATGCAAAACTGACACTTTAATGTGCTTTAATGTTATAAACATTAGAGCCCGACCGATATGGATTTTGCTGTGGCCGATATGAAACCGATATAATGAGAGTTGGAGCTGCCGATAGCCGATATAATCGCCGATATATTTAGTGATGTAAAAATTCACTGTAAATGTTGAATTGTTTAAAAAAAACTTTTGGCTCGGCTCACTAAAAGCTGCTGGTTCTTTCGGCTCCAGAGAGGTTCTTCAGATTGTTTTGTTGCAAGCAGGACTAAACCAGAACTGAATCAGGACTGAACCAGGTCTAAACCAGGACTGAAAAAGGACTAAAACAGGACTAAAACAGATCTAGACCATATGTAAAACAGGACTAAACCAAAACTGAACCAGGACTGAGTGTCGGGACTCGGTCTCTATCTCGTGCCCAAGATTAGTCGTGTTTTATTTATTTTATGCTAAACTACAGCCAAATATGCTATTTTTTTTATCCTATGTACACGAAAATTTCTCAAAGTTTCGTTTTCAGCCGCTGCCGCTGTCAAACCAGGTGTCTGCACGCTGCGTTAAGAGAAATAAAGTGAGAGAAAGAGAAAACACGGCTCCTAATAAGGATCAGGCTCCCGTCGTTCGCTTCAAAGAGCCGGTTCTAAGAGCCATTTCGTTCGCGACCGACCCATAACTAGTAAAGAAACTATCGCTATTAGCCTTTAGCCGTAAATGCTGCACGCCACGGTAATTAATTATATGCGCAAATGTCATAATTCACACGTCTGTTCACAGCTCATTTACATATCAGTGCAGGTCCAGCAACAAATATACAGACAATATAGTCACTTTACAATAGGCCAATAGAAAACAGTCTGTTTATGTGCGTGAGCTACAGCAGCTAATCGCTAATAACAAATGACCAAAACTAGCTTCAAAGTTATCATATTTCCAACACTCACCGCTCACACAGGCTCCTCCTCACATCACAAGTCTGCACTAATAAATGTTCTTTTAATCCAGACTCAAACCGATTGTCCGTAAAAAGAAAATAATCTCAGTGTTTGGATCTGTGTCTGCGGATGTAAACAAACACACGTGAGTGACGCGACTCTGGGGGTGTGTTCAGGGACAGTACTGACACACACAGAGACAAAGGACTCCGCAGATGTGGAGCCACATATTAGGACATTTATCTGTCTGTAAATTGGATTAAATGAACATAATGTAGAGAGTCTAAGATTTTCAACGACATACAAAATGCCCACGTGAAATATCGGCCCCTATCACCTTGTCTCCAGGTGCCCATATCGGCCAACCGATATATCGGTCGGACTCTAATAAACATACCTGGAGTTGTGTTTTGTTTCATTCGCATATGTTTGAGTAATCCTGGTTGATTAGTAAGTCTACATCTCCAAAGCTCAAAATGCTCTGTTCCAACTTGTGATGTCATCTAGTGGTTCTTTTCATGTTAACAGCTCCTTTTGCCTTTTCAGTAGAGAATTCTGGCAATTCCAGGGCTGAAATTATCCAAATTATTCTGGTGAAGATTTATGAGGCACTGTATAACCACATGACATCACAAGGTGGAACAGAGTGTTTCAGCCTTTATGCAGGGTTTGTGTTAAACATGTGTAAATGAAACACAACATCAGGTATGTTTGTGATGAACAAACAGCATGATAACATAGATCAGAAAACAGGGTAACATGAGCCCTTTAACCTATGAACACTGAAGTAATTAATTTGTTTGTCATGTACATGTATTAACAATTACCATGTCTTATTTATCCATTTGTCCCAGAACGGAGATGCACAAGAGAGGAGCGTTGACACTCAGTTTGGCTCAAATGTAAGACAGAAATCATCAGTCTGACTTTATTTACCCCATAAGCACTGAAGTCACAGTCTACCCAGAAGCTCATGAAAGGAAGCTTAGTATGACGTTGTGACCACATTCGGGGAAAAGCCACCTGTTTTCTCTCTATTGACAGACTTTGAAACACACAATTTCATTCTCAGCACTTTTCATGTTCATTTTTTCATTGTTATTTTTCTTTTCCTCAGCCATCTTCTGAGAACCCAAGTTCCCAAGACAAAGCCAAAATGTTAACCTTTGAGGCCACTGGAGGTAATCTTACCTGTATTTCACCACTGTATGATTGTTCTGTAAGAAAATATCTTAATTCTTAAAAATGTTTAAACTTTTTTTCAGTTCAAGCAAATAACACCATCACATGGTATGCTTCGAACCCGAATTATGGTCCAGTTGATGATGGAGATTCTGGAGATCTCATCGTCCAAAAGGACGGGCAGTTCTTTGTGTGTCTCAGGGTAACCCTGAAGAACAGCACATGCAGGAGTCAGGACACATGTCCCCAGATAGAAGTGACTCTAAAAGAGGTAACTGGAAAACATGAAGATATTCTTACAGGTTGGATCAATAATAAGACACTGAGCACAGGTCTCTTGTGCAAGATGAAGAAGCTGTTGAAAGACAATAAGCTGAGAGTGGAGATCAAACCTCCAAATCGAGAAAAAGTCCATTTAAATAAGAACCAGAGCCACTGCTCCCTGGACATCTTCTATATGCCCAACTGAACCATGTCTGCTGAACCTGGTACACTCAATGCAAACACATAGTATCCTGGAACTGCAAAACACAAAAGAATACATGGTATTAGATTTCTAAGCAGCAGGTAGAGCTATTTCCTCACTAGTCAGATTGCTCCAGCCTCCAGTAGCCTGTAGAATATGAATGTCATGCCCAAGGGCAAGACACCTTACCTCTCCTGCCAGTGTTTTGCAACATCGTCCTTGTATATGTTAGTATGTCATGTGGTGACTCAGATGTTGTAGTTGTCTGTGTGCCTCAGGGCAGCTGTGACCTTGGACATAGCTTACCAACACTGGTTGTGTCAGAGCAGTGGATGAATAATGAACATACCTGAAAACTTTTTAAACTAGACTAAACAAAAAATTGTGGATGAATAACTGAAACTGAATATATATGGCTCAATGTTTTTTTTTTAAGCCTAAATGTATTTAAAAGTTTGATGGATGAATAGAACATTCACCAAAAAGAACATTTATTTAACATTTGGTGCATTCACTACAGATGTGTGTTTTGATATACTTAGTAGTAAATAGCTTTTCTTTTTCAAAACACAGAATTTCTCTAAAAGCTCATTTTAAGTTGATTTTAAGTTAATTTTTCCTGAATGTATTTTCAAACTTTACCTTTTTGAATGTATTTATTAATTTATTTATTGAACATTTCAGGGATAAAAAGAGTATTTCTGACTAGGCCTGTCTTGGCCTGATGTTGTTACCGACAACATGAGTGTTATTTATTTATTTTTTTTAAAAGAGGATGCTATTTGTTTTAAAATTAATCTATGTTAATCTTGATTCTCTGTTTATTGATTTAGGGGCTAAAAATACAGCAATTATTTCTCATGAATAAACAGTACTGTTTAGAACATTGGTCCCCTCTTTTTTTTGGTCTATGTTCAATGTAAACAAAGCTAATATAATATGGTTGTGTGAGTCATAGGGACCCCACTACAATGTGAAAGTGAAAGCTCAGATTCACAGACATACATTCATGTGCTTATACCACCAGTATGTCCCACCTTTCAGCATATCACCACAAATTATTAAAGTGAATACAAACAACTGAAGCCACAAGTGAGTCATCAGCCTGTAAATCAGATGAGATTCTGTTTCCAAATAACTTCTCTCCCACAGACCCGTGAGCCAGGCTCGCCATCACAGAAGTGGTTTCTACACCTCCTCCTGTGTGAATATGAGTTTTCCATGGAAACGGGTGCACACATGGGCTGGGGAATATTTAACTTTATTCATGATTATGTTTAAGTTAGATATTGTGTCTTCATGTGAGAAAAATGTAATAAAATAAAAATAGTCAAGCAATATTTTGGAGTAAATTCAGAGACAGTAGGCCAAAGCTTGGAATTTTTTTTTTTTTTTTTTCCTATAACATGAGCTCTAAAGATTCATATAGCATAACTTATTTTTACATTCTAATTGTACATACAAAGATAAGATTAACATTGATTTACTATTTTGCCTTTGATCTTAGCCACAAATGTCTTGACTGACATAAACCTTTTACTGAAGCATACAGCAGACAAATATTTTATCTCTTTTAAAATCAAAGTTCACTCTGTAGTTGCCATATCAGCTAAGACAATGCGCAGACAAATGTTCTTTTTTGATCAGCAGGTGGCAGCATTTCCCTTCTCATTATAATATTTAGCGCGCTGTTCCGTTGCGCCACAAGTGACAAGAATAACATGAAATAATAACGAGACACGACTGTGAAACTGTGATGACGAGAAGAAATATTAAACCCCCAAAATAAGGAGAAGGAAATAATGCTAATTGCGGCTTAATTCCCGTGACCTACACTTGACTCAGTCAGTTGTGTCAATTTAAAAAACTGAAAAAGGAAGTTTTCTGCCCACTGTCATCGCCGCGGAGAATTCCACTCATCTACAACGAGAAGGAAGGTGAGTCAGGGCCGGACGCGCACTGGAGCCGAGCCGCAAAGACCTGTGGGAGTTTACTAGACATTTTATGAAGAACATAGGCCTACACGAATGAAAAGTAACAAGGGTAAAAAGGTGGGCGAGACCTAATGATTAATGTGTGCGTGTGTGTGTGCGTGTCTGTGTGTGTGGCCAAACATGCACAGTAAAAAAAATAACATATAATAATATAACTGTGTAACATAATGACAGTATTTATTCAAGTAATGACTCAAACTCATGTGCCCCCTGGTGACAAAGGACATTATATGGCCCCTGGTTTAGAGTAGGGCTGGGTATCATTAAGAACTTGCCGATATGATACATACCTCAATACATAGGCCTCGATACGATACATACCTCGATACAGTGAGCTTTCGATTCAATACGATATATTTCAAATCGATTCTATACAGTTCAATAAAAATAAAAGCTAAATCATGTCTGTGATACTAAAAGTCTTTGTTACACCACTTTTTGTGCAAAGTTCATATGAAACACAAACATTTTAATCATCAAAACAATGAAAACGTCAAATGTGTCACATAAAAAAGTTTCCTTCCTCTAAACAAGCACCAAAACTGTAGCTCTGTAACAAAATAATTGAGTAAAATATACCAAAAAATACCCAAAATATCGAACAGTATCATCACATTAAGCGATACGATATATTGATATTTCAATATTTTTGCACACCCCTAGTTTAGAGTCTCATTTGAAAGGTTTGTCCCTGCATACTAAAACATGTCACCGCTCCTTTGGTCTAGGACTGGCCCACAGTTGAAATATAGACCTAAAAACATTATTTTTGAACAGCACATTTGGATGTATCATGACCTGACCAGCTAGACCCTTCTACTCTCTAAGTCAGGGTCTCCAACCTGTAGCTCGAGAGTTACTAGTAGCTCTCCAACCCCTTCTAAGTAGCTTGCCGAGGAATTTCTGAATGTATTGTGCTGAATAAGTAAAATCTGATGAATGAAATGCCTTTTACCATTGTACATATCATTTTCAGGCCTAACTCTGTGTGTAATAAATGGATAATGGTGTGTGTTTTATAGGCATCTAAACGTACCTCATCTAAGGCTCGCCGTGTCTCTTATTTATGCTCAATTTCTTGTGACTGCTAAAACTAGTAGCTCTCTGGCATTTTCATTTTGATAAAGTAGCTCAGTGGAGGAAAAAGACTGGAGACCCATGCTTTAAGTAGTGCCAAAGTGTGTGGTTTCAGCCTGTTAAGCAAGTGTGTGCAGTGCTTTGGACAATGAAAGAAGAGTACTTTTTATGTTTGTTCATTCATGGATGTAATGACATAACATCACAACTACCTGATCTAAATGACTTTTTCTGGGCTTTCCTCATTTAAACTATAATATTTTGATTGTTAATTGTGGTCACACTGGCAACTGTCCTCACTTAAAACCCAGATAAGCACAGGCACCGTGTCTTTCCAGTGCTTTCTTTGGATGAGAGACAGTTAAGTGAAGGCAGTGAAGTCATACTGAAAAGCAGTAGCGCAGTGTGTTGTGGTTTACAGCAGGTCCCCGTGTGTGTGGGTGGGAGAGGTGCTGCTGCTAAGACCACTCTTCAAAGGCCCAGTAACACCTCTGAACAGGAAACGCCGTGCACCAGAGCAACTTCAGGTGGTTGGAAAAGACTACTCTTGCCCCACACTTTTACATCTTTATTACACATTTGTATATAACACCCGGGCAATTTTCAACATATTACATAGAAATCGTAACAGCACAGTGATTGCATTAAAGTGCATCAATATCAGAAATAAGTAATAAAAGAAAGAGAAAATTATTATTAGCTCTGTCTTTCAGGAATCCGCACCCCAAAACATCAGCACAGCCTGCTTTAAAGGTACACTGCATAACATTTGTCTAGAATGTTCCACAGTATAGACTAAACCGACCTTTCAGAAGAGAGACAAGAAGTACAGCACTACACTACATTACAATACAGATCTGTGGAGCCGTAACACTTGCCCCTATTCACAGAAGGAATTATTGTATTTTTGAACAGTCAAGCACCCGTAATAAATCAATTCTAGATGGACATATTTAATGTCATATCATGGAACATTCCAGGCCAAGCAAAAACATCTCCATAGAGACAAGTAGGTAGCGAACCCTCTACCAGCAAAGTTGCTCAGTGCACTTTTAAAGTCTGCTGATAAAGCCATGTTTACAGAAGAGTATCCTCGTACATACAGTTATAAATAAACAAAAGTAACATAACTCCATGTTTTACTGTAAGAAACTGTGCAAGCATGCTTTTTTTGTTTGTTTTTTTTTTATTTTATTTTTTTTAATAAAAGACAATGTCACTATTTCTGTGGGTGGATAATATTTAGAAAACTTAGCAATTAAAGGTTATAAGACTATCTAGAAAACTAGAATATATTAGAGTAACCCTGAGATGTAAAACATTTTTAAGCAATGCACAGTTTGTGACTTACAGGAACAAGAGTAGACAGTTTTCTGTAAGCTAAACTATCATTATGAGGGGTCTGAATCTAATGTATATCTTTACTTTCTTACATTTCAAGTATTTTCATCAGATCATGTAAGCACCAAACACATTTTCTGTGGGATCGTGATGTGCAACATGAGAAGTATCACCGACTTTGACAAAAATGGCATCGTCTTTGTAAAAGTGGAAGACTCCAGCCAGAAAACTGTTGGAAGGTCTTGAAACTGTGGTCTGCATGGACTTCAGGAGTGTGATGGTCTTTTTACCAAGGTAATATTTTGTTTTCAGTTCAATTGAGTGACGAACAAGGATGTCGACATTGAACGTGACTTTGGAGTAAATGAAGTAATAACCATTTTCGTGGAAGATGAGGGAGCCATCTTTGTAGCTCACTTTGTAGAGGAGAGGGTCTGCTATCTCACTCCATGCCATGATGTCTTTTGCAGGGGCTGTAGCATCTAAACCATCTACCAGAATGAATATGAGAGTATAAATATGACTTTCAGTATCATTGGTGCTTTCTTATATGTTTGAACATTTACCTGTGAGATGGGCCAGTGGTTTGGACGGAGCTTCCACCAGTCGGGGCCATTTGGTGGGTAAAGGTCTGAGTGCGGATGCTTCTACAACAGAGCACAGGGCAATTCATCTAATAGATTAAATATCTGTGCAAACGTAATTGAAGGCAGTTTACTTTTTTTTTTTTAATAATAGTATATGAGAAGAATAAAAATATAAAGACCTCCCTCTGTTTGAAAGACAAACAGTCCCTGCTCTGACATTGATTAAAATCAGTTCAAATTGCTTAGTGTATACAAAAAAATGTGAATTTTTTTCCCTCCTACAGCCCATTATATTTATGCAACAGAGTTTGAGTAAAAGGACGTACCATTGATCAGCTTTGCGGCGGAAGGCAGTGCAATTTCGGTCTGTGAAGAAAACGTATAATGATAAATGTTTTGTGATCAGTGGTGCTACTTTATCTCAATTTTAAAATCGGGAATAAATAATGAAATAATAGAAATATAAAACATTTGGTTTGTATTGCATTAAACCCAAAGACATGCTTCTAAATTATAATACACTTTGTACTGCCCATGAAGCGATGAGGTGATTTTTGCAAGTTTGCATGTATCAAAGTATCAAATATCAACTACTTTTATTGGGGTGATATTTAATTAAGCATATGTTTGTTTTTTTTATTAAGGACATCTACAGATTCTGCTTTATACTTGTGTTATGTTATATTCATAGTTTAGAGTCCTAGACCACTTCCTTTATGAGACCAAACGGGGACATTTGTGATTGCACAGTTAAAGCTTTTCAGACCAGATGTGCCCTTTGAAGGAACTTTCCACTCACCAAAAATTCAACATGAAACCTTAGATCATGCTAAAGCCTTAAGTAACTGGGCCTGGTTTTACCATATAGCCATTCTTTTTCTTAAATGTGGACGAATCTCAAAATGCACAACTTTGTCTATAAGAAATATACATAAATGGATAAAATGAAGCGTCAATTCAGAAAATTCTTTAAATGGTAATTCAATACACGTTGAAGTTGACAAAAGGGTTTACAATTGAAATTGAATCTCACCATGTCTTAGTGGAAACTTTCACTTAAGTAATGACAGCACAGCAGTTTTCTCGATGTGACTAAGCAGAACTAAACTCAACGCATTTATAAAACAGTTTCTTTGAATTAATATTACACAAATACAAGTGTAACTAAGGTTGATAAAATACACAATTTAATAACAAGATTTCTTATGCTTTCATACTCACAGGTGGAGACGGGTGGTAGAGGCGGTAGATGAGCCAGGCCTCGATGACCATGCCACTCAGAGCCACACTCACCAGGAGGAAGAGCAGCACCTGAGTGGTACCGATGTGGCGTTTTCGTCCGGGTCGGGGGGGCAGAGGAGGGGGCGCTGTGTGGTAACTGTCCACTGTGAACACCGTGGGGCACTTGAGACCTTCCTGAGTCATGGTGTCAGCAGGTTCACTCACACTATGTCAAAATGCTCCTCCAGTGAGACCAGAGCAGAGACAGTGTGAGTGTGACAGACATGGGTGGGCTTTTGAGTGATACGTGTGAAGACAGAGACAGGAGGGGCCTGAAACTTTGATTTGTTACGTAATATGACAGAGAGAAGAGTAGTGAACGGTGCATGTCTTATAATATCGACTGAGTGTGTTCAAAAGTTTTTAAGTTTTAGTTTAAATAGCAAACACGGAGAACAATATATAAATATATAAATATTTTTGCACAAGTGTTCAGGCTGAGTTCTATAATGTATGTGAAAATATCCCTGTTATGGGTTTTTTTACTCCTAAAATAACTTAATATGTTTTGCCACTGGTTTGCATATGATTTTTATTTGGGAAGTCCAGATAAGTCTCTGCTAATTTTTTAAATTTATAAGTATCAGAGAAGTGTGTATTCGGGGATGCCAGACAAGTATGTTTAATTCATTACCTTACAATCTGAGGGCTTTATTTGAAATTTAACTTTTCATCTGAGCTTCTAATTTAGTAGTGTTTTATACTTTTAAAGAAAAAATATTATTAATATAATTTTAATACTTTTTATCATTTAATATGTGAAGAGCTTTATGAAACCAAACATCTGGATTTGAATGATAATATTGCATTGAAATGACTTAGAGTATATTACTTCTAAAATGTTAATTATTAACATTTAAATTGTGACCTGAATATTCACAACGAATCCACAAATAGATCAGTTAAAAAAATCTTCACATTTCAGTGCAGTCCTAAGCAAATAGACAATTGAAATCAGGTTTAGTGCATACCCATTAGTAATACAGTAGTTTCCTTGGTTACCTCTTGGTTACTAGGGCTTCCTCTATTGGAGGAGATGAGAACTGCAGTACATGTACTAGTATGTTGGGACATTACTTGGAGGATCCATAGGCCTCAGTAGTACAGACTAACACGTGGTCATGTGACACTCTTACACACTGACAGCTTTGCATGCGCCTTTATTTCTCTGTATCACTATTGGTCAGTGCTGATAGTGACTCCACTCATTTTCTCCAAACAAGGAAGTATTATCTGTTTGAAAGCTTTATGGAGTAGTGAAGCATTAAGAAGTTTTTGAGTTACCATGTTTTCAGAGATACTTTTGCTGCTGTTGTTTCTTTCCGTAGACATGACTGTGAGCCTGGGACCAAAGCAAGACATAGAAATTACATTTATATTACCCGCTGGTTCAACCGAGTGCTTCTATCAGCCCACGAAGAGAGGAGACACTATGGATTTTGAATATCAGGTAAGGCCACTCTTGTACCTGTTTATAGCGTGTTGTATTTCATTACTATCACCTTTCTCGTTAGTGTAAAGTTTTGAAAAGCTCATGTTTTTTTTGAAAAGTTTATGAATAAGAATGTGGCTTTGAACTTTGGTCTAGTGTGTAGACAGATAAGGCTCCCACTGAGACTGCAGATATGTTTGACAACTAGAAAAACATTGTTGTAAGATCAAACACTGAGTTTCTGAGTACAGTATATCTTTTTGTGATGAAAGATTATTAATAATGGTTGCATAATGTTTTTACTTTTAATGTCAATATTGAATCTGTTTGTATGCACTTGACTCTGTTGCAATAAGAAACAGTGAAAGTTAAAACTATACCACAGTACAACAACAACAGCAAGCAAAGCTCCCCACAGTGTGTATTTTGCAATGATATAGTAACAATCAGCAATAAATATTCTACCTTACAACATAGCCTTACCATGCTGCTACTACTACTACTACTACTACTACTACTACTACTACTACTACTACTACTACTACTACTACTGCTATTGCTTGCATGCACTGCATAGCATTTCTAGGAGAAGGTCTGCCACCTGCTTGTCTCCATGGAAATATTAAAATGTTACACAGTATAGATTAAATCTACCTATCACAAGGGAGACAAGCAGGTTACAGCACCATGTTACTTACAAGTCAGATCTGTGGAGAGTCACTCCTATTCACAGAAGGAATTACTGTATTTTTGAGCAATAGAAACACTCATAAAGAATAAGTACCAGATGGATATGTTTGATGTCATACCATGGAACATTTCAGGCAAAGCAATAACATCGCCATGGAGACAAACAGGTACAATGGACCTTCCACCTGAAAAGTTGTGCAGTGCACCAATAATACATCCCTGACCTTTAACCCCTTAATTAAATAAGCCTGAATGTAATGAAATTAAAAGTTAAAAAGTTTTTCTTCATGCTTTGCTCAGGCTAGTAAAGGTGTAGTATCATGTGTAATCCTACTGTAGTTTACATTGTCTATTCATATATTCTGGCAGTTATCTCTGATTCAAACAGACATAATATTGTATCACAGTTGCTCTCCTGTGTGGTGATCTTGGTTTACAGAAACAGTCCAGTCTACAAAGCGTTTCCTGTGTGCATTCTCTTAGTCACTAGATGCTCTGAGACTGCGTGGGCCTCCTGCTCTGACACTGCACTAGCCACAGACCAGATACACGGCAGCTTGAACTTGAATGTTCTGACTCAGTTTTTCAGTAAAAGGAGAAGTAGTAAAGTAAAAGCATCCCATAAAAAAGAAAAAGAAAAAAAAGGAACTTTCAATTATTTGTAACAAGCTGCATTTAATTTATCTTGAGTATTTTCCTTTTTTTTTAAATCAACTTTCACTACCCTGTTTGACTTCAATTGCACACACTTCGCATTTGGACTAAACCAGGTCTACACCAGGACCAGGATCCAGGATCAAGGCCCAAGTCTATATCAGGACTAAAATAGGGTTTAAACAAGGACAACTAGAAAAGCACTCAGAGAGCGCAGACCTCCGCCAAGGACTACCCCCATTTTTTATATAAATTGTGATAAAATCAGTCTTGTGGATCAGATCCAGATCAGCCTTTGGAATATGAAAGAGGATCCCATTGTCCATCCCTGAGTCAAATTTCATGGGGTTTGGTCAATAATTAACCGAGATATTGAGAAACAAAATTTTTGGCCCCATTTACCACAATGTTAACTAAAATTTCAAAGTGATCCAGAATCCAGGATTTCTTCTGGATCACCCCCAAAATGAAATCAGTTGTTCCTTTTCACATTTCCAACAAATCCTGAAAATTTCATCAAAATCAGTCAATAACTTTTTGAGTTATGTTGCTAACAGACAAACAAACAAACAAACAAACAAACAAACAAACAGACAAACAAACAAACAAACAGACAAACGCCGGCAAAAACATAACCTCCTTGGCGGAGGTAAAAATAGAAGTGTCAATGCACCCATTTAGAGATTAACCACTTTATCTGTTATTGATATTATCAATACACACAAAACTTTACTTGAACACTTAAATGCAAATAGATAATTACTCAAAATGGCTCTCTTGAAGGTTTGTGGTAAAAATCTACATTTCTGACCAAAAATATCAGCAGAGCTTATCGGCCATTGGTTTCTTTGGAATCTAAACAACCGGTATTGGCATCTAGCCAGGCTGGCGCCACCTAGTGCCTCTGATCAACTTCATTTCTCTCCAGAGACTAGGTCAGGAATCAGAATACACTATACGGTTTGCAAAAAGCACGAGTTTGGGCACCAGCCAATCAGTGAAGAGCCACACATTCTGTGTTGGAAACAATTCCAGAGATCGAGGATTTAAAGCTGGAACAAATAGAATGTTTGGTGAATTTTATCAAGGGGTAAGGGGAAAGACATTATTGCCCTTCTTCCTATGGGATTTGGGAAAAGCTTAATATACCAGTTAGCCCTGTTAGCGGCACATTACATACGTCACAACCAAATAGCAGCGATTGGTTAAATTTAAAAAAGCAGGCAAGGCAAGTTTATTTGTATAGCACAATTTGTACACAAAGTAATTCAAAGTGCTTTACAGAATAAGAAATACATTAAAATCATAATAAAAAACAAATCAAAACATAAATAATCATGAAGATTAAAATTAAAAAAGAGAGACATAAATTGGAGAGAAGAGTGCGGAATGAAAACCTTTCAGTTATTTGCACAGTTAAACAGAAATGAGCCTGGATATAACAGTGTCACAGAAGAGTCTGTCTCACATGTTCAGGAAGACTGTTCCAGGTTTTAGCTGCATGAACCTGAAACGCTGACTCCCCTTGTTTAGTCCTGACTCTGGGCACCAGCAGGAGGCCGGTCCCTGAGGTCCTCAGAGTGCGAGATGGTTCATATGACACTAACATGTCACAGATGTACTTTGGTGCTCGGCCATGGAGAGACTTGTACACAAGCAGAGCTGCTTTAAAGTCTATTCTCTGAGGCACAGGAAGCCAGTGCAGAGACCTGAGCACAGGACTTATGTGCTCGTACTTCCTAGTTCGAGTAAGGACCCGAGCTGCAGCGTTCTGGATGTTCTGCAGCGTCTCACAGCTCGTTTGGAGAGACCAGTGAGCAGACCATTACAGTAGTCTAACCTACTGGAGACAAACGCATGGATAAGTTTCTCCAAGTCTGCTTTAGACAGTAAACCTTTGATTTTTGCTATGTTTTTTAGATGGTAAAAGGCTGCAGATGTTATTGATTTGATGTGGCTGTTAAAGTTCAAGTCTGAGTCCATTATTACCCCTAGATTTCCTGCCTGATTTGAAGGTTTTAGAGAGAGAGACTGGAGGTGACTGCTGACACTGTCCCTTTGTTTTTTGTGGACCAAACACTATGACTTCAGTCTTGTCAGAGTTTAGCTGGAGAAAGTTGTTTTGCATCCACACACTGATCTGTTGGATGCAATGACCAAGTGAGTCCACTGGTCCATAGTCTCCTGCTGCCAGAGAGACGTAGATCTGAGTGTCATCTGCATAATTGTGGTAGGACACATTATTGCTGCTTATTAACTGGCCTAATGGCAGCATGTAGAGATTGAACAACAGGGGGCCCAGGATTGACCCCTGAGGCACCCCACAGGTCAGGGCCATGTGATCTGAGACACAGTTTCCAATTTCAACAAAATACTTCCTGTCTTCTAGATAGGACTTGAACCAGTTTAGTACAGAACCAGAGATGCCCACCCAGTCCTCTAGTCTCTGTAAGAGGATCCCATGATCGACAGTGTCAAAAGCAGCACTCAGATCTAACAGGATCAAGACTGAGACTTTGCCTGCATCAGTGTTCAGGCGGATGTCATTTGTCACCTTGATAAGAGCAGTCTCAGTGCTGTGGTGGGCTCTAAAACCTGACTGGAAAACATCAAAGGAGTTGTTCATTTGGAGAAAGTTCGTAAGCTGTTGGTAAACAGCTTTTTCAAGGACTTTGCCAAAAAAACGGCAGATTTGAGATGGGTCGGAAATTGTTCAGTACTGTGGCATCAAGACTGCTCTTCTTTAGGAGAGGCTTAATGACCGCAGTTTTCAACGCGTTTGGGAATGTTCCAGATTGAAGTGACATGTTCACTATGTGAGTGAGTGGTGAAAGTAAACTGTTGAGGACAGACTTTAGAAATCTAGTGGGTAACATGTCCAGGCAGCAAGTAGATGAACTCAGACTGGTAACGATCTCTAAAACAGTTTTGTCAGTTACAGGTGCAAAGTGATTCAGCTCTAAGTGTCTCTGTGGCTGCATGCTTGTTATTTGTGTTGTGGAATTGATGGCATTTTTGATGCCCTGAACTTTGTCATTAAAGAAAACTGCAAACTCATTACATTTAGATGTGGAAATTAGTTCTAGTGGCAGTGGAGCTGGAGGGTTTGTTAATCTGTTCACTGTTGCAAACAGGACACGAGAGTTGTTACTGCAATTACCAATAATGTCCGAAAAATACTTCTCTCTTGTTTTACTCAAAGTGTAGTTGTACATATGCATTGTTCCTCTGTAAATCTCATAATGAACCTGGAGGTTTGACTTGCGCCATTTCCGCTCAGCCTTCCGGCACTCCCTTTTCTGTGCTCTGACTGAGTCATCATTCCTCCACGGAGCTTTTTGCCTATCTTTAACCATTTTAACCTTTATCGGGGCGATGGCATCCAGAACATTCAAAACACTCAAAGTCACAGAGTTCAACACATCATCAACATTAGAACATGAGGCAATTTCAAAATGTATCATTTCCATGAACAGTGCACCTGTGTTATCATTTATGTGTCTTCTTCGAACAACTGTAGGAGCAGCCGGTGGTTTGGGAATAACAGACAGGTCAAAGAAGACACAGAAATGATCAGACAGAGCAACATCAACCACACTGACATTTGAAATATTTACACCCTTTGTAATGAGCAGGTCCAGAGTGTGCCCTCTGTTGTGAGTGGGCTCACTGACATGCTGAGTCAGTCCAAAAGTTTCAAGGACAACACTAAGCTCTTTGGCATTTTTTGTCACACACATTATCCACATGTACATTTAAAATCAACCTGTAATGACTAAACCATCAAAAGTCTGTGCAAACAACTGAAAGCATCTCAGTAAAATCATCAATAAAACTTTGACAGTGCTGAGGAGGTTTGTATATGACGATGTAGAGTATGGACGGTGATTGTTTTTAGCTCCATTTTGAAGGAAACATACTCAAATGATGAAAACACCCCAAATGACAACCTGTGTGTAACCAAATGATCTCTAAAAAATGCACACACTCCTCCACCTTTTTTATTTGCTCGTGTTTCAGATTCAAATTTGAAGTTGGGAGGGGTTGATTCCACTAACACTGCATGACCTGTGTTTTTGTCAAGCCATGTGTCAGTTAAAAACATAAAGTCAAGATTAAAAGAAGAAATAAAATCATGAATTAGATGATTTGTTACATAAAGATCTGACATTGAGCACAGCAAGTTTCTGATTAGTTTCAGTAGGACTGAATGTTATCTTCTTACAGGGAATTTGAACTAAATTTGTCTGATTAGACAGTCTAACTGTCCTTCTTTTAATCCATCTATGTAAAGTACCTGCCTACTGTCAAGCGAATGAATTCTATCATCAGATCAGATCTGATGAATCAGGCTAATTGGCATCGGCCATGGGAAAAAAAAAAAAAAAAAACATATCGGTTGATCTCTGCACCTGATATTACTGTTGGTGTCTTCTAACTTCACTGTACTCTATGTTTATGTACCACAGCCAAAAAGTTAAACCAAATTTCAAAATATGTCATACAACAAAATGGTAATGCTCTTGTACAAATAGGTAATTGCTGGGTCAGGCCTGGACGTAGGCTTCTCCCTGATCTCCCCCAGTGGACACCGACTGGTCTCTGACTTCAGGAAATCCGACGGCCTCCACATGTGCGTTTGACCTTTAACCTCTCCAAATCCGTGTTTATTTACTCTAGACTCACTGTGCCCTCTCTGTGCAGGGTGGACCCCACAGAGGATGGGGACTACCGCATGTGCTTTGACAACAGCTTCAGTAAAATGTCCCTGAAGATGGTTTACTTTGAAGTGGTGCTTAATGCTCAGAGTGACACGAGACAGGAGGAGTGGGACGAGATGGACGAGGACAATCTGCTCGAGTACAAGCTTCAGGACATCAGAGTGAGAAAGAACTTATCTACACTCATATAACCGTTCATGGGTTTCAGAATTATGAAAAAAAAAAGATATTTTGTGTCAAATAGTTAATTTTTATGGGAATGGTGTGGAAGATTAGTAATAGCTGATATGTTTGCAACAATGGTGGAAAGTAACGAAGTGCAATACTTAAGTACAAATTTTAGGTATCTATACTTTACTTAAGTAAATTTTACTGCGGATACTTTTTACTTTTACTTTACTACACTGAGAACATGCATCTGTACTTTCTACTCCACTACATTTTAGATCTGGACTGAAAAGTAAAAAGTACATAGACCTTAGTACTGAGACCTTTTTAGCACACTTTTTAAAAGAGTTTGTCTCAACTTTGAGCAAACCAAATACACAAAAACAGCTAGAAGAAATCAATTGAATATCTTAAAATCAGCTAAATTCTTTATCAGAATTGCTACATTCTATTAATTGTTCTAAAAATCTCTGCAAAATACCAAGTATGTTTTTAAACAGGTACTTAATACTTTCACTTAGGTAGATTTTTTCATGTGATACTGTAACTTTTTTTTTTTACACTTTTACTTGAGTACATTTTTGCAACTGTAATACCAATATGTTGTATTTCAAGATCTCATGTCCTTAAAGGTGCATTGTTACTTTTCTTGTGAAGGGTCTGCAATGGAGATGTTATTGCTTTGGAATGATTTACAGTATGGTATTTAACCTTTCTATCACCATGGAGACCAAACCAGACCAAGTTACAGGTCAGATCTGTGGAGAGGCAAACCCACTCAGTGAGAATACCTGTTTTTCTAGATATTTTTGCGCTATAAAACCACCTGCAATTTCATAAATATAAGGTAGCTCTGTTTAATGTCATACTGTGGAACATTTCAGTGACATATCCATAGAAACAAGCAGGTGATGGGCTCTCCACCAAAAAAGTTACACAATGCACCTTTAAAGGCAATAATATAAACCAGCTTGCTGCTGCCTTGGTGAGAAATAATCATGTATTCACTTTTATCTTGTTCTCTCCTCCAGACCAGTTTGGACACAATCCGCAGACATTTTGACAGGACCAGGCTGGTGCAGGCTGCTCTCCGTGCATTTGAGGCCAGGGATCGTTATCTCCTGGAGGATAACTTATGGCGGGTGTCCTTCTGGTCCTGTCTGACATTGCTTGTGATGCTGGGAGTCGCCACTGCTCAAATTTACACTCTGAAAAAACTGTTTGATGACAAAAAGAACGTACGCGCAAAGGCTTAAGACTTTTTCTAAAGACATTCAGCGAGTTTTGGGATTTTATTTTTTATTTTTTGTACTTGAAATTATTAATGCTGTATGCCACTGTGAAATTTTTTATAAGGGAAATTATACAGTATAGTATTTTAGAAGTAATTATACACTAATGTGGAAGTTTGTCAATGAATTGAACCAATGATTCACAAAAACTTATAGAAGTCTAGTTGAATCAAAAAACCTTTGCACAATATTGCATAACCATGTTGTCATCTTATTTAAAGGACTCATATTACGCTATTTACTGATCTATGTTGTTGTTTCCTCATCACAAACATACCTGGAGTTGAGCGTGTTTCATTCACACATTTAGAACACGGACCTTGCATAATGAGTTCTTCTCTCAAACAGAAAACACTCTATTCCTCTATGTGATGTCATGTTGTAATACAGGAAGTGCTCCAATGTGGTTTTAAACTCAATACACTTTAATTAGAATCATTTGGATAATTTTAGTCCTATAATTGCCCATCTCTAGTGAACAAAAGGTAAAAGGAGCGGTTAACATGAAAATAATCACTAAATGCCATTTCAAGGTAGAATAGAGCGTTTTGAGCTTTAAGGATGTACACCGATTAATAGGCTAATGCAGGAATACTCAAGAGTGTGAATGAAATAAATCACAACTCCAGGTATATTTTTAATGAGGTAACAACATTCTAACATGGTTTAAAGCTCCCAAGAAACCATTTTGTGTAATATTGGACCTTTAAATACAGTGGCAAAGACAGCGCACTGCATTAATTATTTAAGCAGCTAACTTCTTCTGTCTTTATTTTACCTAGATTTTCATATAAACATTTAAACTTGTAGCAAAAGAAAAAATGTAATAAAAAACCCTTTATTTACAGATTTTCCCTGATGCAAAATATTCTGCACATTTATAGAAATGTACATTAAATGCATTACTTTGGCACATCTAGAGATAAAACATATCTAGCTTCTCATTTTGGCTTAAATGATTGTATAGTAATTTGTGTTAAATTAACTAAAAGTATATTTTTAGATAGCTTATGTACATAACATGCAAAAATATTATAAATCAAAACACACATTTGTTCACTTCTAGTTGAAATCAGTAACAACACTGAGCAGTTATTGTCCGGGAGGCATCGTGAGGTGGGATCCAGTGCGCAGGCGTCAGCAGTCACCACTGGGGGCGACGTGGAGCCGGAGGAGGGCGCCTGTTCAGAACAAGCCAATATTAATCATTTGATCTTATTACGGGGCCTAGTGCTGGTTCTTTGAGTTTCAGCAAAAAATAAATGGGGAGAAGAAAGAAATGAAGTAACAGATGCAGATTCTCAAGGTAACGTAAAAGAAAAAATGTTCTCTTTTGTTAAATAGACCCTAATGCAGTAGGCCTAAAAGAAGACCAAAGAGAAAGTAGATAAGGAGAGGGTTTAGAAAAGAGTTGCTTAGTATCAGAGCAGAGGATAAGAGCAAGGCAGGTCATTTGCCGTTTTGTTAACATCCTGTATAAAAATAGTAAAAAAGAAGAAGAAATAAAAAAATGAAGACATTTCAAAAAGGTAATTTGACTCAAGTGAACCTATAGTCATGTGTTGTCAAAATAACATAGGAAGAACTAAAAGTGAATACAAGGCTGTGTACATTTCAGTTGCTCTCAGTGCACCTGTCAACGGGTGGGTGGAAATACATGAGACAAGGGCCATTGTTTTGAGAGCTGCTTGTGAGTACTGACGGCACCAGGCCCGGGTGCGCACCAATCTGACTTCCATTAAGTGGCATTATTTTAGGCACCTGAAATGAGGGTGCCAACATTTTTAACAGAGATTGCAATGCACCTTTTTGCACTCCTGTAGACCCGGGTTGCCATGGTAACATGTATTAGAAAATGTTTCCATGTGCAACAATAAATAAAAGAGGTGTTTGAAAAGAGAAAGTGGGGCACAGAAGTACACACAGGGAGAGACCAACCACCAAACGCCAGAGCTTTTTTTTTTTATTATTCACAACACCCTTTATTTCACTCTCCAGTTTCCAAATCAGGTCAAATCAGTTCATTGCTACAGGCACTTGACAAAAAATAAAGGGCTTTCTTGAAAACAAAAGATATAGAAGAGAGAAGCGGGTATACACACAATTTAGGAAAAAATACTACAATATTACAGAGAATTTACAGTGTTCTAGCACTGGTTAAAGTGACAGTCAATTTGTCAAACATCCAATTTAAAATACCAGCTTGTGGCGAGTATTTGAGGTGCTTAATTAATAGATTTCAAAGGAGTTTATTAAAACTGTCACCATAACCCCAAACTATGCACTTACATCAAAAGTATATTCTGTCCCAGGCCTATTTATTTATATAATGAATAATATTATGTAAGGTCATATAAAGGTTTATCAAGACAGAATATGCTTTTTGTACAAGTCTCCCACCACCATCACCTCTACTGCTGATTAAATGAGAAAGCGCAACATCAAAATAACCCAATGGCAATCCCCTTTCCACCAATTTCATAAAATATAACAGAAAATACATTATGTTAATACCATAGAAGCTTTTATTATTAATTAATAATTGTCCAGCTCTATGTACCCAAAAATACATTGCAAGAGGCCAAAAAGTTGAAATGATGAAGGAAATGCCCAGCTGATAAATAATAGTTTGAAAGTTCATACACCAATTCATGAATGTTAGTGCTATCTTAATGTTATTTGGGGCAAAAATAATGTAAAATATAGAATACAGGTACTATGCTATGCTCTGGTATGTAAAAAACAACATAAATCGCATGCTGATTTTCTTGCCTATACGCCCTGCATTTCTCCTAAATTTAAACATGAAGGAATGAAAAAAAGTTGATATAAATGCTTAAAGTCTTTTGGGGTTGAACGAACATTGAGAAAATTAATTTTTAACTGTGATGATAAGGAGAGAGCTTAGGTCATGCTTTGCCCTTGCTCTATTTTTCTGTGCATAGTGTTAGTCTATTCACACAACTGGAAGTGGTTGCTTTCTTATGACCATTCCAAGTTTTAAAAAGCCATCTCTCTTAACATACAAATTCTGACTTGCGTGCGTGTGTGTGTTTTGAATTTTTAAAGCTACATTAATCATTAAAAGTCACTCAAATAAAATACAAGAACAAGATATTGCAAAATAACAGTCACAATATTGTACTGGTTGAAATCTAGGAGGATTCCATAAAGGGATATAGTGTTTAGGGGTGAACGAAACAGGAAGGGCGGGGTTAAGGTTTTGGAAAGGCTAAACATCGGATCAGAGGAGGCTGTAAACCAAGTATTAAAAGGTATTGTCCACAGCAAAATTGTTCAAGTGGTTAAAAGGCGTAATCATTATTGTAGACACTTAAAGCTGCACTATGCAACTTTTCTGGTGGAGGTTCTGTCGCCTGCTTGTGGTCATAGAGATGTTATTGCTTTGCCTAGAATATTACCTAGTATGGCATTAAACTCAACTGTCTCCATGGAATCAAACTTACAATTCAGATCTGTGGAGAGGTGACTCTGCTCACTGTAAAAATTGAGGTTTTTCTATGTATTTTTGAGCAATAACACATCCATAGTGAAATAAAAGCCTGATAGATTACATTTAATGCCATACTGCGGAATATTCCACACAAAGCAGTAACATCTCCACGAAGACAAGCAGGTGAAGGAACGCCCCAATCAGAAAAGTTCCACAGTGCAGCTTTAGCAGTTCGACATTAGCAGCTTAACATTGCTTAATCGGACATATTGAGAAGAGTGGATGATATGACAAAGCTTTAGCCTTTCTCCTTTCACCCTCACGTGCCATGTACAGGCCTAGAAAGTGTGCAGAGGAACACACAGAGGAAGCACGCCCCTCCCCTCACTCCCAAACCCAACACCAAAAGATGGGCCCGGGCACAGGTCTAGTCTAGTAGGGAGGGCTCAGCGGGGCGGATAATGGTGGGCCGGTGAGAAGGAGCACCAGGGGGTCTTCGGCTGCAACAAGGAGAAAAGATGGAGGAGTGAGAGAGAGAGAGACCAAAATAACCCGATGGATATAAAAGGAGAAAAGGAGACAGTAGGTTGGGTCCTCGTGCTGGCATCGGATTATTATTAATATCAGATGGAAATCAGGAACTAAGGTTGATTTATGTGGTTATGACTTGTTCTGATGACTCTATTTTGACTCAAGTTGAAATAATACTTGTTGTAAATATAAGTTACACCAATAAAGAAGCAATTTGTGAATAAAATTGGAAAGTAAAGTAGAGAATTGGGTCCAGAAGTTTGGCACAATTTATCCTTATAAAACACATTTCTGTTTCTGTTTTTTTTCTGTTCTGTTTTCTGTTTTTAACATTATTTGAACAAAAATAAAGACGTTTTCTTATATTTGTATTTGTCAGATAATAATTTCTGTGTACATTAGAGGAGTTTTGGCCTAGTGTTACCGTGATGAAATTCCTAGAGTAATGTCTTGATTTCTAAACCGGGAAGAACAATTTTAAACCTGAAAAATGGCCAAACTGGAAAAAGAAGTTAAAACAATTGTGTAAAATGATTTTAACTGTGTCTTAAGTAAAATGTGTGATCCAACCTGTCATAGACCCTTTAAAAGAAAATCTACAAATCCTTAAACTGACTATTGTTACTGATTGGGTTTATAAAGATGCCAAACACATTTACAGCTTAACATCTGTTTACCTGACAACAATAAGTATTTTGAGTCACGCTACAACTTTCTCACAGCTAAACTGTTTGAAATTCAAGTCCGTTTTCTTCACTTCAATGAGGAAATTGCTTCAAGCTTAGATAATTTGTGTTGACTGCTGAGAAAGATGTGGATATCTCCAATATTTACAGACATATTAACTATACACAAGGTCAAAAACAATCAGCATTTAGAATCTTCTGAATCTATGAAGCTTATGGATTTTAATTTTAAACTACAGAGAAATTACAGCCTCACATGAACCCAACTGACAGGAAAAGTTGAAAGAAACAGACAAGTCAAAACAATCATATGAGGGAAAAGTGGCACCGGTGACTAAAAAGAAGAGAAGAGGACAGGACACATTTTGGGCTACTTGTTTGTGTACCTGGGCACGCCTGGAGGCACACGGGCCGGTCTAGAGGGGATCTGTGGGGGTGCACTGAAGGGATCCTGGCTGCTGTTGAAGGCGTTCATGGGCTGGCCGGGGCGGGATGGGATGGGCGGAGCTCCGAAGGCAGGAGAGGGGTTGAGAGGAACCCCAAACGGAGGAGAAGGGTTTGATGGAGGACCAGGAGTAGGGCCTCGGACTCCAGGAGGGCGACTCGGAGGAGCAGAGGAGGCAGGAGGTGGTCTGCGCTGAGAGGGAGGGCTGAAGAGGACAGAGGAAGATGTGTCACTGTTTAATTCATGTATATATTTTAAGTTAAGATTTCTTATGCCCATTGTTCTTGTCAGAATTTATCCCCTCTGTGAAGGAATAAAATGCTACAAATTGTATTAGTCAGAAGAAAATATTCATGCTGTCAGTCTGTTTCCAAACTGAGCTAATAAATGTTCCATTTCGAGATGTCAACATTCAGTTAACAATTGTTTTTCAGATTTTTTTTCAGATACTAAACAATTTTAGAGAATTATAGAGGCACAAATAAGTCATTTAAATACAATCTTGAATAATTATTTTACTCTACTGATTTTGTAATATTAACCTTTAACTACCAGATTAATGAAATCAAGCTTTTGGCATTATTATGTGTACTAGACACTGGTAATAAAAGAACGTGAATGATTTTACCATTTACTACATGTTTAGTCATGGTATCAACAATAATCAGTAATAATATGATCATTGTAACCTCACAATTAAACTAAAACAAAAATGTGATGCCAAGTCCATCTAAAAGAACAACAGTTCAAGAATAATTAGCTCTCTTTGACCTAAACAGTTGTAAAAGTTGTACCTGGAGTTCTGCATCCAGGAGTCGTTGACGGGAGGGGGCACCGGGGTGGAGATGGTGTTGGCACTGATGTCCCCGATGATGGTGAGCGCCTCCTTCAGGGCGTGATACATCCGCAGCATCTCGTCTCTGCGCTGGGCCTGGTCCGCAGACTCCTCCATCAGGCTGTTCTGGTCCCCACTCGAATACAGATAGGCCAGGAGCTCAGAGTGGATAAAGTCCTTAGACTAAAAAACACAAAGACGACAATTCATATTTTGTAATACAGTAAATAGGGTGATGAATTTCATACATTCTCAATCTCTCTTTCATTTCTTGGCCAATAGATTTCATTGGACAAAAAAACTTGTGTGAAATGGGGGTCAAGATTAAGAGTGACACTCAGTTAATTGAACTTACACGACTGAGATCACAACATAGCCTGACATATGTGCTCACTATAGTTACTGCCTTAATAAAAAAGGTAACAATATGTACAGTTATATAATAAGGCAGTGTTTAGTGGCTTTAGGCAAGACATTACAAAACCATAAACATAAAGACAGAAAAAAGTGATAAAATAAATAAATAAATAAATGAAACTATTTTCCACATGACTTACATTGTTGATCATGAGGTGCATGATGGTTTTGGGCAGGAGGTCGCGGATGGACTTGTTGATGATGCCAATGTACGAGTCCACAAGGTTACGAATTGTCTCCACCTGTCGTTCCAATTGAGGGTCCATGGAAAATGTGTCTGCAGGGGCAGATTCTTCTACCTCCGACTGGAAAACAACAATAATATGCAGACTTATAAAAATATAGACACACTACTCTACTCTTTACTACATTTACACTGATCTAAAACAAAAAACAGTTACAAAAATGACTGATCTGACAGTTGATGTGATATAAGGCTATATAAAATAAATTAACTCAGTATGGAGAATGCAGATACCTGGTCCTTCTCCGGGTAAACTCCAGCTCGGAGGAAGGAAGCTTTCCAGCTGTCCACGTCTTCCTGAGACTCACAGGCCAGCTCAATCTGACGAAGATCCTTGTAAACATTTCTGCAACAGTCAGCATAATATGGTTTCAATATTTCCCAATATTCAGTATGACAATTTAGCAACTTTTCTGTGGTTCATTTTCATTATTTGCTTTCATTATAAACTGAAAGGTATCACTTTTCTGGTGGAGGGTCCACCTTTTCTCAATAAGTACGCTTTGTCTGGAGTGTGTCACAGTATGCTATTAAACCTTTCTATAGTCATGGAGATCAAACCAGATCAAGTTACAGTCAACTCTGTGGAGAGGCAACCCCGCTCAGTCAGAAATTAAATCAATGTAAGGCAGAGCTGTTTAATATCATACCATGGAACATTCCAGGCAGAGAAATGACATACCCAAAGAAACAAGCAGGTGACGTACCCCCAATCAAAAAGTTACATAGTGCACCTTTAATTACAACTTTCAATATGTGCTGTACAAGTTTATTTTAGTCTTACAGCTGGTCTTTCATTCATAAAGAAGGAGGATACTGACCTCTGCTCTGTGTTGAAAATTGCAAAGACATGTTTGGTGGACATAAAGCCTTTCTCTACATCTCTGATCTTCAGGTTGTCCAGAGGAAGCATGTATTTCTTTTCTTTCTCCTAGAACAGAACACACACACAGTCGGTCATATTATAAAAGGTGAATGAATATTGCTATACAGTTACGTGTGAGTGAATGAGTAAAGATGATATCATTTGTTTTCATTGTGATCTACTCCACTCTTGGGATTGATGGAGCAGTTTTGGGGGAGGTGGGACTTGTAGAGAAATGGGGTGCCAGCTCTTTCTGTTGAGCAGAGACATCTGGAAGTATTTACCCTCACACTAACAGAGCGGCAGAGACCCAAGTTACATCACCGATCCCCCACCCCCATCGCACGCGCTCACAAAGGCCAACGACTCCACCACACACGCACCACAAACAAACATTCAACAGACTGTATACACTTATTAAGGGACTTGGCCACATCTGCGAACAACTTTACCAAAATTGTGGATTATTAAAAAATGTAAATGATCAATTTGCTTTCAGACATAGTGTACAGAGTCACACCGCCCCCTCCGGCCCCCGTAACCCAGTACGATTTCCTGCAAATTCCAAAGTCAGATCCCGGCTGGAACATTTCAGCCCGCCTGCCACGTCAGTTCGCCTCTACCATCCTCCCTCGCTGGATCGCCCGCTCCTTGGCTTTCTGCACGCGGTCTCAGTACGTTTACTTGGACTTTATGGACTTTTCGGCCACTGGGCTACACCTTTAGTGGTTAACGTTAGAACGTACCGTTTTATTAAATGACTTGGCGAAGCAGCGCAGTAAAATTGGTGAGTAGTAAACTGCACTCTACAATTAGCTAACTTAGACAGTCATAACAATATTTCCGCTGATTAAGTTCATTATAGTGTTAAATGCACATGTAAGCAATGTCTTGTATGTTTTGGTAATAATATGTGAAGTATTTATCTAGGTAGCCTTTAGATACAGCCTGTACTCCAGCTAACTGTGTCGAGATTATTGCATTTTAGAAACATATTTTAACAGTTAGATCTTTTATTCGTGCATGTGTTTAACTTTATTTTATCTATTTCACTGCTGGTGTTTGCTTTTGTCTACTATCCTAGGTGCAAGCCACAGTGACCTCCAGGTCCTTCCCCCCGCTCTGCCCCCCCGCCTGCCCAGTGTTCAGACTACCTGTTCCTGGGCCCAAAACTGAACAGTAGTCTGCACATTGGTTAGGCTGGGTTGGGTTGTAGCACCACTCACCTCCTCGTCTTTGTACCAGGAGAGCGATTCGGCGGTCAGCACGAACCAGTACTCTTTGGAGCCCCCCTTCATGATGCTGATGTTGATGGTCAGCCAGCCTTTCCTGATAACCTGGAGGAGCGGGGACAAAGACAAAACAGGGAGAAAGATACAAGAAAGACAAAACATATTACTTACACACATTACAGACAAAAATCATATTCATACTTACCTTCAATCTATAACTATATGATCTAAACTAGCTAATTTAGTATTTTATTCAAGTGACTAAGTTTGTCTAGTCTAGATTGTTAGATGTTAAAAGGACAATTCATGCAGAGTTTCATGTTTGTCAGTGGTTTTATGTAGACAAAAGCATTCAGATCTCTAACAAAAAGGACCAAGGATGTTGCTGTTTATTTGTAATGTAAATGAATTCCCTAAACTAGCAAACAGGAGCAGATGGGGTCCAGACCATGCACCTCCTAAAGTTCAAGGGTCAAAGGTGGTATGTTAATGTTAGTGGGTCAGTAAAACACACAACAAATGACAGCTAGTACAAAACAGTGTTAAACGGTAACTGGACTCATAACTGTAAGCTGTTAAAATGTGTTAATTACAGACATAAGATTAATGTAAAGTCGAAAAAGGATGAGCGGCAGACTTTGTATTCTCAAGACACAAGGCATAGATGGGTTGCAGATTAGATGACATGGGCACATGGGAAATAAATTGGGATGCAAATCTGAATCCAAGAGGGGACAGGATAACAGCAGACTTATGCAGAAACATGCACTTTGTAAGCAGCCGTCTACAGACTACTGCTGTTAGTCTGCTTTTGGTTTCTCCTGCAGACTCTGTGTATTCAGTATGTTACTTAAACAATGCTTTAGATCACAAGCAGCAACATAAAACATATAGGGGGTGACAGACCAGGGAGCTAAATAGGTAGTTTGCCTCATTGAGCAATTTCTTTATCATCTGGAAATAGTGCTTTTGTTTACATCTGTTTGAATTTGTTTATAATGTGAAAATTATAATTAAATTATAACGAATAAAACAAGTGTACTCAAGAAACATGCACTTTTGAGTTGTTTCTGATAGAATAGAACCAGTCACCATATCAAAGAATGATTAGTTCTGAATAATGGACCAAGTGATCAATAAGACCCAAAGTTTTTAGAAGAGTCTAATTTTGTTACTATACAGTTTTAGTGGAGGATTTACATGCAAGTATAATCAGTAAAAAGAGATAATAATTAATGATTTTTTTTTAATGGTAACCCAGGTTCCCTCCCAGTTTTGTTCCTTGATGATTCTCACAAGGCAAACTTTAGGCAGCTGTACACAAGGCCACAGCAGAGGTACGACTCAACAAGAACTGATGACATCCACATCTGCTTATACAATCCTTATGCATTTTCTTTTTATTTACATAGAAAATACCTGACAAAATGTATTCTATTTCAGGATGTCTAATGTTAGTAAGTGCTCAATTATGCGCAATTATGCACAATTACAGGTCCAATTATGTTTAAGTTGAGTTAAACTGCTGACAGCCCCAAATTACTGGAAGTGTGTCAGCGGGACATGGAGGTCTGGAGGCGGTACCTTCACTGGCAGGACCTCTCCAAGATCACCAAGCTGCAGGGGGTAAAACCATGACCATATTTGTACAGGACAGTTCCCATCCAAAGCACACACCTCAATGGTTCCTATGTGTGATGTTGCCAGTTCTTTAACCTGGTCTACCCCTGCTGCCCATGCACAAAGCCAGGTTAAAATCTGTGGGGTACTTACCAGAATCTCACCCTGCAGTAACAGAAGGGGTGGTGGGTATTACAGCAAAGAGGGTGGGGGGAAATTATAGCATAAAGGAATGATAAAAGCGAGCCAGCGAGGAGGGCATGAATTTAGGAGTAGTAGAGGGAAAAAGATGAAGAAACAGAGGAGAAACAAGAACGCAATGAGCATGGCCAGGACAATAAATGTTTAAGACAAGAAACATTTATTGATATAAAAGGCCATTGGGAAAAACAGGTGCAGAAAGAGAAAGAAAGAGAGAGAGAGAGAGAGAGTGTGAGAGAGAGAGAGAGAGAGAGAGGGGGACAAGAGCAAGAAAGTTACATGCAATTAGAATTACTTCAAGTCATCCACATTTGGTTATGTCATAATTATCGCTCGGTAAAAAGGTGCGTGGTCCATGCGCATTCTGAATTAAAATATAAAAGATGTTTGTGAGTTAATAAGAGCATAAACACAGCCAATACAATCCTAGGATTATTGTAGCTTTGGCTGTTACATGCCTATCTTCATGCGATTAATAATAAGCCATCAAAACAAATGCCTTTTTAGATAAGCAGAAATGTGAGGGATTTGTTTTAGTTCATTAGGGCTATTCTACACTTGTTAAAACAAATATACAAACCTTATAACACCGTCTGAATCTTGTACATAATTTAACTACTGTACATATCGTGAACAGTAGTAATATAGTAAAACAAGGAACTACAATTTGCTAATTAAAATCAGTGAATGAAGACAGTAATATTAATAGTTAGACAGGTCAGATGGATGGGCGGCTCTGGGCTACATCATTACAGCGTCAGGTGTATTCACATGGTTGATTAATTTGCCGCTAATGGGAGGCGTCAGTCAGGGAGGATTAGAGGTGGAGCAGTGAAAAGGGCAAATGTACCTGGTTGGGCATTGGCCTCTTCTTGTTCGCGGCTGTGCTCCTCTGCTGGGCACTGAGATGGACAAAACACGATGAATAACAGTGTCAGCAATACAACTACACCATTATTCCCAATGCATTTGTGAACCTTGTGCTGGACTATATAATTGTACTGAATTCTATTGTAATTACAGCCTGTTTTTTAGACTTCAGTAAAGATGTAAAAGTCCTTTCTAGTGCTATGCCATTTAATGTGTTCCTGTACAATGGCTTTTATTCACATGCCTACATCTGGTCGGCCCACCTGCTGTTGGCGTACCCAGGGCTGCTACCATCGTCCAGCCTCCGGTAGTCAGGACTGAAAGTAATGTCATGGAAACCGTTAAACAGTCCCACTGTATTGTCCACAATTTGGGAAACCCACTCGCCATGCAGAGGCCGGGCACCAATAAACTCTCACACGATTATTGGGTTATTGAAGCAAATCAGGTCAGTTTTACTTTTTAAATTATTACCTTTACCTTTTTTTTTTTTTTTTTACTAAATGGTGCATGACACTAAGTAAGTAAATTAAACTTAACTAAACTAAAAACATTTTGTTCACTTAAACTGGTATGATTATTTGGCAATGCGCAATTAAAACTCCAAGACGTTAATGGTAAAACAAGGCTTTTGTAAACATAAGTCATAGTCTACCTGTGTCCTCCTATGGTGGGCAATATTGACCAGAATGATAAATACTTTTTGTCAATTACACAAGATTTTGACTGCCAAAATCAACAGATTTATGCTTGAAATGTAATGTATCAGCAGAAATATTGCTTTATACTGCATCTTTGGAAATTTATAGAACAGGTTTGTATTATTTTTATTTTCAAACCCACATGCCACATAAGTTGGCATACCTTCAAAACATCTTTCACAAAATTCTGAGTAATTGTATCCTTTCTATACTGCCCACCTCTTCAATGATAATGCATAGTAATTATAGTATAGTATTGTATAGTATAGCATAGTAGGTGTTACATCTACAGCTCAATCAGGAGCCTTTGATTGACTTGTAATATGCCATTTCATAGCATGCTGGGTGTAGAGACAAGCACATAATGCCACCATAATGACCATAATCCGTCCTCTCCCACAGGAAAACACATGCTCTTATGTGGCTAGGCTCTAATTGGGGCTCTACATTAAATCCACCACAGCAAAGCTCTCCACATGTGTGAAAATGGTAGTTTGTAACCTTCACGATGCTTTTCCGTGTTATTCAACAGAAACACAGGTTGAACATGTACTCAGGGCTCAGAGCGTATGGTAACAGGTTGTGAGTCAAATTAGCAGGGCACATACTTAGCAAAGCCAATGAAGTCCTCGTGGTTGGTGTTGATGTAGGACAACTCAATGTCAATCAGCAGCAGCACCTTAATTAAAGCAGAAAATTATGATTAGAAGTGAAAGGCCTCGATTAAAACATCAATTCAAGAGCTCCACGTCTAACCGCAGATTTCACGCTGGGGAAAAAGGCAGACATGTTTTTGACATGACATTAACTAAAATTGACACATCAAAGTCAAGATGAAATGGTAATGGTTAAATAAAGTTGAAACTATTAAATTTTAGCATGCGTCTTGTTCACTTTGTAGATTTATACTGAATTCAAGTTGTCTGCCTCTTTCACACCTCACCTGTCACTCTCTCTGAGCATTATAGAGTTAGATCAATAGCTGGTGGGTATAAGTTACTAAAACATAATGGTGTGTCAAATGTAAAAGCCCCTCTCTCCAAATTGTCAATTGTCAAAGTCCAAATACATTTCAAATTTCATATTTGCTCCCAGCTGAAATAGTCCATTGGTTTGTTTTATTGTTTAGTCATAACAGTTGAGAAATTCTGAAACATGAAAAGTAAAAGTCACTGATACTGGGCCATAAAAATGACAATGTGCAGGGGTTTAACATTTTAATTAGGGGAACATTTGACATCTGGCACCGACCTGGTCCTTGGTCTTTCCTTCTGTCTCTCTGATATGGGTGGTCACGATTCTCTCTGTCTCCTCTCTCAGTCTGGGGTAAGAGTTGAGCTGAAAAAGACCACAGAACAAAGAACTGCAGCGGCAGTTGCACAAAAGCACAAACTTGAGCTCGAGCCCGGTTAAACTTACCCACGACATCACAGACAAACAGGAAGTGAGAGGTAAGAGTAAGTAAACAGAGAAAAGGGAAAGTGACATTTTAGTGCCACAAAGTTACACAGCCAAAACACTCACACAAGAGATGGAGGTACAGCATCTATAAGCAGAAAACAGCTGGAAAAAATATTTTAAATGTGCACTATGTAACTTATCTGCAAGGAGATGTTATAGCTGTGCCTACAATGTTCCACAGTATGGCTTTGAAATTTGTCATCTTTATGGAAACGAGCAGTTTGGAGACACCATGTCATTTACAGGTAAAATCTGTAGAGAAGTGACTCCGCACACCGTAAGAATGCATGCTTTTTGAGGTATTTTTGAGCAATAATAATGCTAAATAGATATTTCAGGCAAAGCAATATCATCTCCTTGCAGATAAGTGGCCTGCACCAGAAAAGTTACATAGTTAGCCATTTTCCACTGATAGAACTGAACTAGGAAGAGGTAAGGGAAAAATAAAACACACAAAGTTTGAAGTTGATAGTCAAGAAATAAGAGAGAAAAGTGAAACATGTGCGTGAGCAGTGCATCGCTCTGACCACAAGATGGCGGTGGAGATGTGTTGCCATGGAAACGCAGTTTTGAGGCTGTCCACAGAGCCTATGAGCTTTTGCTATCATCTCTCTTTACTACAGTCTCTTTCGATCTAGCTCATCTGATAGCAGAATGTCAAGCTGCAACACCGGGTCAGCTCTGCCCAGAATAACAACAGGATTTTAGAGCAAGAAAGACAACAAATCCTGTACTCAAAAGCTGACAATTCAGTCACTGTAAAATTCCGATATCATTCAAGTACATTTTAAAGTACATCTTCTCCAGTTTGCTTTGACATATGACCTTGATGTTAAGTGCTTTGAGTGCCTGCAAGTTGGAAAAGCACTATTTACCATCTACCAACTACCACAGAAAGAATTTTTGTTATATTAAAAATAGACATTAATGTTACGTATGTACAAATGGAAGACCATTGCAAAGGTAATAAAAACAAAGCTTTTTGTCTTATACATTTTTCCCTGCTTATTTTTTTCTTTCAAAATCCTAACCCCAAACCATTTTTTTTTTTGCAGTTCTTTCTTTCAAATTAAGTAGTTTCTTTATTAACTGATTAGCAAACAATCTAAATGTATATATATATGATTAAAACTCTATAATGCTATTTAAATAAAGGCTGGATACTGGATGAGATCATACACTTGTGACACAGAATACAACAATGGAGGGAGAGATTTGGGATTCTGCATAAAACACAACAGTGGAATAATTGGACTATGGGGGGAAATGGGAGTGATGCTGCTCTGATGTGATTAGCACTTCACTGGGGGGGGCACAAAACAAATTAATTGAATTTCCTCTTGTTGACGGTGTATCCCTGGTTACCTTGACGGCACACTTGACAGCGATGGCAGTGAGCTCCGACACAACCATATCCACACATTTGAGGCTGGGAGCGCGTAGTTTGAGAATTTGCTTTTTGACTATTGCCTCAAAAGCCAGGTCAGGGGTGAAGAGACCCGTTCTGAAAGGGGGTCAAAAAGCGAACGAGTACCAGCAAAGGAGGAAGGATAGAAAGATATTAAAAAGAGGAGGAAATAAAAGACAGAAAAGAGGAAAAAAGGTATTTGCACAGTTAGTGATTAGAGTCAGATAAGTCAAGCCAATAAGAAAACAGACAAGCTGCAGTTCTTTCACGTCTACTTCTGCAAAAAAAGCCACTTCCCCTACATTTTCTACAGAAAACATATGAGCTTGAATTTAAACTTCATATTACTATTATTAGGCGTGACTTTTGAAGGCAGAATGAGGATGTGAGGCAGTTTGCAGCTTGTCCAGAGCAGAGACAGACAGAGGGACAGAGAGCTCCAGAGTCCCAAAAACATGTCAGATCCAGGGTCACGACACGGCACTTGTCACCACATCACCACCACAGCACAGCCCTCACACGGGACAACGGGCTGGGGCAGGCTGAAGGCACACTGCACGTCTGTAGAAATATGTTTAAATGAGATAAGTATCCGTTACCATGGTATCTGAATGTGAATATCTTAAAACTTTTCTTAAAAAAGCAATACACAGGGTTGTCAGTTAATTGTAGGCAAATAACAAATAAAATTTAATGGATTATTATTTCTCCTGGTTTGAATCCAATTCCTAATGTAGACTTGGTTTGGTGTAGTCCTGATCTAGTCCTGGTCTAGTTCTGGTCTAGTCCTAATAAAGCCCTGGTATTAAATCAAAAGTACCACTCTGAGCTCTACTTAATAACTCAGTGTGTAAAACAACTGACTGATGTGCTTATGTTACTATATTGTGTCACTTTGCCGTCAGCCTGTCCCGTTGCCGCCCGTGTCCGTTGCCGGGGGAGATGCTGGACACCTGCAGTACCTTGTTGGTGCACTGCCTGACTGTGTTGATGAGCTCCTGAATGACCATATCGACACATTTGACACAGGGCGTTTTCAGCTTTATGATCTGCTTTTTGACGATGGCCTCAAACGCCAGGTCAGGAGTGAACAGGCCCGTTCTGAGGATGCACAGAGAGACAGGCGCAGAGCCAGACAGATGTGGGACAATTAACAAACATATGGAATAACAGAACACAAAAATGAATGTGATGGCAAAATGGGAAAAAAAAACAGCCCTGTCACTATACCACATTTTAAAAAGAAAGAAAGAAAAAGAAAGAAAATACCCAAGGACAATATTGAAAGTACTTAATGGTCCTATATTGTGAAAAATTTACTCTTGAACTTTTTATAGCATGTTATCATATCGTTACCTCATCAAAAACATAACTGCAGTTTGTTTCATTCACACATGTTTGAGTAATCTTGGTTTATTAGTCTACTCTATCCTCAAAGTCATAGTTTTCAAGTTAATAGGTACCTTTTACAATTCCAGGGCTGAAATTATCCAAATTATTCTAGTGAAGATGAATTAAGTTTAAAAACTCTGTGGAGCACTTCCAATATTACATCACAAGGTCGAACAGAGTGTTTTTTGTTTGAGATTTTTGATGAGGAAATTATAACATTGATCAGAAAATTGTGTAATATGGCCCCTCTCATGGCACTGATACAACTGAACAACTAATTATAATGAGCATGTTTGTACTTTGTTGGTATCTATAATTACTCATACAGGTTACTTAATAAACCCTCTACAGCTCAGCTCATATTTTTGTCATACTACAAAAAATAATAATAATAAAGATTAAATCACACAATATGGTACTTATTACGCCCCCAAAAAATGTTCCAGCTGTAATTCAGTGACAGTAAACAAAAGATCTTACAATTTACGCAAGGTCAAATGGAAAGATACAAAACATAACATAACAAAAATATGTTATGTATTATGAGTCCTGGCTGTAGATTTCTCAGAACTGAGGCAAATGTAACCTAATACCATGTTATAACTAAATGCTTTGGCTGCAATGGAAAATGAGTGGGTGGTGCCGCACTGAACAAGAGAAAGACATTAAACCACAGAATAAAAGGCATTGAACGTCCAAAAGCAAACACTGTGATTAGCGTCTGCCTGAATGGGGACTTTCTGTCAAATTTCACAGTAAATAATCACTAAAGACAGACAAAGCAAAAAAATCAGGTGTTTTGCATAGGAATAGTTTGAACTCTGTGGGAGGCTGAGAGACTGTGAGGACGTGTACTTGCCTGACACCATGCACGTTCTTGATTGCGTGACTGATTTCCCTTCTGAGCTCTTTCTCATCAAACACAATCTACAGCAGACAAAGAGAAAGGGCATGAATAACATTTTGCACATGTACATAGGAGATTTGATTGGTAAGACTCTCGTACCCTGATCAACTCAAAAGGGAAGCGCTCGTGGAAGATGCGGTTGATCTTGGCACCCCCAGAGAGTTCTTTGGTATCAACTTGATCTCCAGAGCCCTCGATGCATTTTTCAAAGTCCACACCAAACTGCTGCACCATCCTGAAAAACACCATTTAATATAATTTTTCATAATGGTAAAACTAGGCTTTAAAGAGCATTTAACTGCCACAACTGATTCACTTATTCACTTAAAAGTTCCTTGGTAAGACTTTTAATATAGAGCTCATTGTTCTAGTCATTAATAGAAATTATAAGGTTCAACATTTACACATGTACCTTTTAGATATTTCATGTCAAATGTCATAGACTGTATATATATATAAATGGACATAGCTAACGCTGTAGTTGCCGCATTCCAAATAGGTAGTTCGCATGCGGCTCTTCTGGCTCCTTCTGACACTGGCTCCCATTGACTTACATTAAAATATTGTGGGTCCGCTCTCTGTAACCTTGTCATTTTGGTCTTAAAATATATTAACCCGCTCTACATGATCCTGTTTTTTTTTGTTTGTTTGTTTGTTTGTTTTTCGCTATTTTGTCTGTCAAAAAAAATCCTATTTATCCCATAATCTAGAGCCTGGCTCCAAATTCATCCCTCTAACCTCTATCATCGCAAGCTTCGTTTAAGTCCCGCTGAACGCTATGGGTGACGTCACACTCACTTAGTCCACTTATATAGTCTATGGTCAAAGTACAATGTAATCAACAGGAAAAAATGACTCTTGCCCCCCCCCCCCCATCTGGGTGTATGACATAATCACATTCTAGCATCTGAAAACCACAAAATGATGGCTTGATGGTGCCAAATTTGCAGTATGTAATTAACATCTGCAGCATCAACCCCATTTGTATAACAGCTGTATGATTTATTAACTTTTTATGTTTGATATATAATTAAAGGTCCACTGTATAACTTTTCTGGTAGAGCGTCCGCCACCTGCTTGTCTCCATGGAGATGTTAATGTTTTGCCTTCCTCCAGAGTATGAATTTAATTTACCCATCTCAATGCCTGCTGCCCTGCTCACAGTAAGAATACATGTTTCTGAAGGTATTTTTTTTAGCAATAAGAAACATTTAACTTAATAAATGTAAGACAGACATTTAATATCACACTGTGAAACATTTTGGGCACAGCAACAACATCAAGATAGCACATGGCGACCAAACCAAAAAAATGAACATGGTGCATGTTTAGTTAATTATCTGTAGTACACTCACTGCAGTAAAGCTTTGGTCTTGCGTGTGGGATCGTCTGGTCTGAAATTTTTGTACTCCTCCACCTCCTTCTCCAGAGACAGCAGCTGACTCTGCAGTTTGCTACGCAGCCCCGGCAGTGTGTCTCTGATGTGGTTTGTGAGTTGCTTTGAAAAGACAGACAGAGGATTCAGTTCTGATATCAAATATCAGAGAACCATTTTACATTAACCATTAACAAGCAGAGACGAACCTGGTTGAGCGTCTTTTGCAGGTGAGGCGTGCCCATGCGCTCGGCCATGTGTCTGTACGCAGGATGGGACAAGAAGAACTTCCTCTCAGCAGCCAGAGCGGCGCGAATGTCCTTCTTTCCATCAATATCTTTCTGACTACGGTTAACCACACCAATGTAACCTGAACACAAAAAATATACATTACTCACTGTGCATTGTAAAAACAATTACATATTATGCTATTTTTTTCTGATCTGTTATGATGTTGTTTCCTCATCAAAAACATACCTGGAGTTGTGTTTTGTTTCATTCACACAAACCCTGTATATGTAGGTTGAGTTCTTCTCTCAAGCAGAAAAACACTCAACATCTTCAAAGCTCAAAACACTCCTTAATGTTTTGAACTCCAAACATCTTTGGTCGAATCATTTGAATAATTTCAGCCCTGAAATTGCCAATCTCTACTGAACTAAAGATAAAAGGTAGCAGCTAACTTTAGAGCTACCACTACATGACATCACAAGAGGGAACAGAGCATTTTGACCTTTGGAGATGTACACGAGACAGACTAATAATAAAGGGTTACACAAACATGTGAAACAAAACACAAGTCCAGGTATATTTTTGAGGAGACACCAACATAATAAAATGGCAAAATATACACATGAGTCCATTTTGCGTAATATCGGATATTTAAACAAGTAAAAAATAAGAATAATTTGTACCTCTGCGTAATGGAAGAAGTTTATTTTCCAGAATGTCCTTTGCGTCAGTCCCTTCATCCATAAGATCCAGTTTTGTTATGACACCAATAGTACGCATACCTGCAAGTAATGCAAATCACCAAGACATAAGATAAATTTTATATCCAAAAAAAAAACAAAAAAACTGTAAAAACAATCACAATATTATGTCAAAACAATAGAAATGTGTTAAAACATGTCAATAAATGTATCGTAAGGTTTAACTATCAAATAAATATGAAATGACTGTGCTTTAGTGAGTACTTTTAAAGATCTGACACTTTATACCCTTATTTGGAAGCGTACAACGAACTTTTTTCCATTCTCATTTCTAATTGTAGCTCTTTTTGCAGCATCTTTATTAAAAATTATATACTCAAATTGTACAAAAAACAACTTTCACAAAATCAATAAATATTTCCATAATCTATCCAACTCCCACTATTTGCTAATTAACCATTATCCTGTGTATACTCTTTACTTCATATGTAGTAATCCCTCTCATCTCTGTATTAAAAGTTCCAAGCATGCATAACATTAACTTGACTGGTTGCTACGAGACACTGGAGACTCACCCTGTGGGTCCACCTCCTTGGCGATCTTGAGGGCATCGGAGTTGGCCAGGTCGGTGTTGGCAGGGGTCACAGCGAGGATCAGACAGCTCTCTTTGGTGATGAACTGCATCAGCATGTCCCGGATCTGGAACTCAATGTCAACGGGCTGGTCTCCCACAGCAACCTTCGTCATTCCAGGAAGGTCAATCAGGGTCAGATTCAGCACTGGATGAAAGCAAAGGGAAATGTCATTAATAAACATTTAAAACAAAAATGTGGCTTAATGATTAGTAACAAGGATTGAAATGGTATTAAAATTGACATGGTTTGATTTACAAAAGTTTTACTTCTGAGTATTTATAAATTTAGTTTTCAGCTCAGTTCATTTTATTTGAGGAAAATATTATTGTACATATTGTGCTGTAGTACAATCTTGCCCAAAAAGGAGTAGGAAGAAGGGTAATTTTGATTTAATTTAAGTCTTGATTTAATTTGTATAGATTATGATTATTATTATCTTTTTATTTGTATTATTATTATTATTATTTTCTTCCGTATTGCAGTCAAACTGTGTGAATAGTGCACAAAAAATATATTTTAAAAATGTACAATTTGTAAGAACTAATTGCACTGACTGATGCAAACAAACAAAAGTTACTTAGAGACCAATAACATGTAACAGACAAAAACAGGCAGTAGACCCCCAACCAGAAAAGTTACATAGTGCACCTTTATATGCTGACATTTTACAAATTCCACTTTCGTAATTGAACACCAGTCACTGTACAAAGACAATTCTCCTTCTGTCCACATGAAAAATTGGTCTATATTCTAAACTGTGTGTGGAGCTAATGCCATGTGTCCATTACCGTGTGGGGAGTAGACCCTCAGGTTAATTGGGACGGGAGAAATGCCTTTGTTGGAGCCTGTTATCCGGTCCGTCTCCGCTTCAATTTCCGCCCGCACTTCATCAAAATCCACAAATTTCTTTCCTTTACAGTGCAGAAACTCAGCATACTCTGGAAAAAGGCACAGTGGCATTTTGAAAGGTAAAATAAGTAATTAAAAACACACATCCCAATGACATGGTGACAATGTTTTCTATAGTTTGACAAAAGATTTTCACACCTGCTTTATTATTGATCAGCTGTAAAATAAGCGGTCTGCGGGTTACAATGCCCGATCCACGCGGAAGGAAGTCTCTGCAAAGAAAGATACACAAAATTAAAATATTATATGCAGGTAACATCAAAGATTAACTATTTATATGAGGTGAAAGTTTAATTATTCATTTACTACTGCACTCAGAGACCCGTGTTAAACGAATATTACAGGGACAGTTCACACCTCGCTCGGGTCTCACAACAACTCAAACGTGACAGTCATTTTCACATCATCAGAGTCTAGTTCACACGCCCACTGATACAAGCAGGGAGCAGTGATCTGAGTTCTGCTGATACTCGCACTTCACAATCTAATTATGAAGTATGAATCAATATTATATGTGGAGTTGGTCCTGTGAGTAAACAGATGATGACGGTGATAAGGTTTAATGGGCTGCTCTAATGGAAGTGTATCATGGCAAACCACTAAAAATAATTACGATCTATTTCCTCATATGGATAAATCTTGATAAATAGATTTTTTTCTTATTTAAACACAAACAAATACGTCTTTTAGTACGAGTTAAACAATAAATCCAAGCTTAGACAAAATTAATACTTTCCACTCCAGCACCATTTAAAAAAACTCTTGATTCTTAAACTGTGACATTATTTATTAGGGATTGCAATAACCCAAATATTGTTGTATCCTAACATCAAGTCTCTCAAATTACTATTATCATTATTATAATACTACTATTATTATTAAGTCTTTTTGCTTAAATTAACAGTACTGAGGGATCTACATAGTTCCCTGTGTTTTTTAGACAGATGATCCTTTGCTCCATTTAAGTGTAGACTACATGAAGAAGTAAGTGTTATGAGCACTTTTGAATCTTAGTTCTTATTATGACAAAACCAAAGGCTTGTCAAGGCATTTTAAATACAAAAAGTATTATTCACAATGTTGTTACCCTCCACAAAATTGTACAATAATTATCATAATGTGAAAAGCAGTGTGTGAAAATACAAGATCCATTTTTTTTTTCATGGCAGAAACCGATTGATTTGCATCTAGAAAAACCAATGGCGAAAAATTTCTGCTGATACTTTTGGGCCGATGCAAGACCAATTTTAATTAGTTCCCCTAAATTCTGTCATTTAAATTTACTACAAATCCACAGCCCTGTTTTACCATAAACCTATGAGATCAGAGTAGTCACAACAAAATATCAGCCTGTGTAGACATCATTACACCCCTATTGCTTAATTAGATTTGATTCAGCCCTATGTTAAACCCACGCCTGGTGGTACCTTGTGTGAACCACTGCTTTCGTTGTGATGAAAACAGACTATTTTGTAGTAAATAAACCACTATTTATATTGCAATGAACACTGGATTACTGAGGCATTGTACATGAACTGTGTATATGTTTTGAGAAGTCATAGACGTATATTTTGTGTTTTCTTCTCGTTGCAGTGACACAGCACCTGAGGAATTTTGAACCACAGGCGCTGAGTCAGCCTTTAGCTCGGACCCGTCCACCCCCCTCCACCCGTCTGCTCCTCTTCTTCACACCCGCTCACACTGCGCACATCTGGGGTCAATCATATCTCTCCCCTGGACTTCTGGAGGGAGCAGAATCCTGACAGAAAACTAACTCACTCATTGCCTCTTTCACTTCTACAGTTGACTTTTGAGGAACTGGCAATAGAAGAGAGCATTACTGAGAAAAGAAAAAAATTATGAATGTCCCAATAATTAATACATTTGCAAAAAATAAGTCAAATTGTGACAAATACATGTTTCGGTTAATTTGTTGAAAAGGTGAAAAGTGCAAATAAATAATAAAAATACAGAAATGTTGCTTTTCTATGCAAGTTTCTGTTCATCTTTTTCATTTACTTTCTATAACAACCATGTTCGTCAAAACAAAAATGCTGATATTATATTGTGGTCAATACAATGCCCACAGTAGTTTTAAAAGGCAGTCGCAATAGCACACAGACAGCCCCGGAGCACGGGCACAGGCTATGGTAAAGAGACAGAACATTCTGGACATTGCACATATCACACGTCAATAGAAATGCCAGAGCTTTGTCAGCGCAGCCGGTGGTGTTCAAAGTCCCAGACAAGAACATATGTCTGCATGAAAACATATGATACATGAAGCATCTTGTACGATACGGACTTGATATGCCCAGTTAAGCCATCAAATCTTTAGCATTTGTCAAACAGAGGTAGTGACAATCAGTATCCAGTTACACAATACCGACCGCCTTTCTTAATGTGGTTATGATGATCTTTGTCTTATTAGTATTGTTAATAGGGTTGGGCCATATCATATTACTGATCATTATATTCTGATACATATGGGAATGATATGAAATTTGTGATATTATTCTGTGTGAACTGGAGCTCATTTTCCTCTCAGTTGCAAGAAGAGGCAGAGATTGTGGATAATTATTATCGCTAAAGCCTAGAGCGACTTAAACACAGACTGTGGAGGATCTGCAGAGGCTAAAAACGCTAATAATGAAAGAGATAAGACATGACGAGTGGAATCAGAACATATAAGCTATAATTTAAACAGCTCCAAATAAGTAAGTACAAATATTATAAAAGCCACTGTTAAGCAGCCTTAGGTATATCATCAAATTTTCGCTTTAATAATGTCCAACCATATCTAGGCCCGTCATGAGCTCTAATGAGAAATATTTGGTTATTTTCTGGCTATATGAAAATATATAAGTCATAAAAATTTGAATTAATAATTTCTATGAGTCATTATAGATGCATACTAACTACTAAAGCGTTTCATTGAGCTATTTATTTATTGCAGCTCTTCTTTTTTTAACAATATTGTACATTTAGAATAGTTTTTAATGGTTTAAATCTGCTCTTGGGTTATTGTAGCCAGGCTGGCACCACCTAGTGCCTTCACTCAGTTTAATTTCTCTCCATCAACTAGGTCAGGAATCGGAATACACTCGATGGTTTGCAAGAATCCCAGAAGTGTGAGTCTGGGCACCAGCCAATCAGTGAAAAGCCGTACATTCTGTGTTGGCAACGATTCTTGAGATTGAGGATTAAAAGCTGGAACAAAGAGAAAGTTTGGTGAATGTTGCCAAGGGGAAAGACGTTATTGCCCTTCTTCCTAAAAAAAAAGTACCCGCCTACCGTCGAGCAAACGAATCCTAACGCTGCGACAGGCGCTTTCCACGAAGTGAAACCGGCTGATGAATCAGGCTAGGGTTATTGTGTCAATGGCATAAATGAGTTTCAGTATTATCATTTATCGCCTATATTTACTTCAGCAATATATCGTACTTCAAAATTTGTTATTGTCACAGGTCTAGCCATTTCGCCCTTCCTGCCCTATTTGCTCAGCCAGACAATGTTCCACCAGCCCTTTCCTTCAGTCCAGCAGGTATTGTACATTTGCCATCAGTGGACATTACAGAAGCTGACACACAGGAGCATTTGTGCATCTCCTATTTCACTTTCACTGGTTTCAAGCCCTCAGCTCGATGAACGGTCAAAGAGTGGACATCCACTCTGGACAATCGTGAATGAGAGTCGGTGAGAGCTGGTCCGTGTTTTTGAAATCATAACACATCACACAAACACTCCATCTTCATGAAATGGATAAATGGCGGTCGGTGGCATATTGAAAAGACGCAGCGCAGGGTCAGTGCTATATTATTGATGCCCTGTAAATGATAGACGAGGCTGAGCAGATTGTGTATCGTTTCATGTATTATGGATGTACAAGGAGGAGAGTCACAGGGACACCACCAGACCGGGCCTTCTGCTGCCAGGACTGAGTATACAGCAGTGATAGAGAGACAGAGAGACAGAGAGAGAGAGACAGAGAGAGAGAGACAGAGACAGAGACAGAGACAGAGACAGAGAGAGAGAGAGAGACAGAGAGAGAGAGAGAGAGAGAGAGAGAGAGAGAGACAGAGAGAGACAGAGAGAGAGAGACAGAGACAGAGACAGAGAGAGAGAGAGAGAGACAGAGAGAGAGAGAGACAGAGAGAGAGAGAGAGAGAGAGAGAGAGAGAGAGAGAGAGAGAGAGAGAGAGAGAGAGAGAGAGAGAGAGAGAGAGAGAGAGAGAGAGAGAGAGAGAGAGAGGGGACATCAACCTGCCTAGCTGTCTGTGATTGGCTGGGAGCATCTTGAGAGCACCTTGTGAAACGCCTGAGGTCAAGGAAGGCATTAAAGGAGAGGGATAAAGAGATACAAAGAGACGTGAAGTAGCACATCATCTCTCAGGCGTTTGATGCGGACAGGACTATGATCACAGCTCCCTGGGTGTCCACAGACTGTGTGTGGGCACAGACGTCCCTAGAAAGTGGTCATAGTTTCTGTGTGAAGATTTGCCCAAGACCATCTGGCGTAAACCCAAGCTGTAATTTTCAAATTTGTCAATATTGACCACAGTTTTCCCTGTGTAACTTTTGCTAGTGTGGGTTGTTCTTGTAGTCATTATCCTGGTTTATACACGTTTATACACAAGTTCTGCGAGTTTTGTATTTTGTAGCAATGCAATAAAAAAAAAAATCTTATTTATGATCTACTCAACTAATGTATAGAACTGAAAATAAAAAAAAAAAAAACATTTAAAAATGTATTATTTGCATTATTCCATTTCCATAATTTCCATAATTGTGTGAGTTCTATTTAATTTGAAAACAACTTAAAACAATGCAAAGTGTATCTTCTAATGAACTAATGTGTATCATCTACATCTACAGTCTTTCCTGTCAAATTTGGCAATGGACAACTTCTGCGTGTTTTGTCTGTTCATGCAAATACATTTCCCAATGTAAGCCATGAAAAACAATGCAAAGTGCTTTCTCCAGGCTAAACTAATATACAAGTAAATATTCATTTAAATCTATTTAGTTTAAATTAAATTGAATAAAATTTTATTTTATTTATTATAAAAATTTCTCACTCCTGCTTAGTCGCTACTATGCTGGTCCAATATTTCACTGCTTGCCTCACAGTGACACAGAAAGTGAAAGAACAGTATGGAGTTTGACCAGCACCGATACCATGATGTCACTAAATATTATTATATGTTGTAAATGAGCTCATCTTGTTTTAACACAAGGTCCAGCAGCAGCACCACATCATAGATTCATTCTGTGACTGCTGTGGAACAGAGAGCAGAGCTGATAAGAGCCCCCACCCACCGCCTTGTACAGCCAGATATCACGTCTCTTTGAGGGCTATGAAAATGTAACTAACCAAATTATATTGGTCAGTTTAGCATAATATAATTTGCTTGTATGCATTCAATCATCAGGGGAAAAAATCTATATATTGTTAGGTGACAAAATGTTAAGTGTCACCTCTGATATGATAAATGTGTTGTCTCCTGAACTCAAACATCAGATTGAACTGTACAGCATGATTTCTTTATACTAATTTTAAGTGTCAATCAAACGTTATGGACATAATAAAATACTGCATATGTCATTCTGTATGTGTGCCACTCCTGATTGCAAACAAGTCATAAAACCAACAGTGACTCATGCCACATTCAAACATGGGTTGCTATAGTAACCTGTCGCCTTCTAGGTGTGACCAGGTGTGACATTGAAATCTGTCATGTGACAAAGAAGTGGACTTGGGCCTTTTCAACCAGTTTTTTGATAGCTGCTAATGCTGCATATCTTAGATTACAATCAACCAATTTCAAATAATGTTTTCATAGTTCAATTTCTTGATAGTAATCTTTTTATGATTCTTATGGTCATTTTAACAAATTTTTAACTGGATAAGAAGAATTTGTATAAAACATGACATTGTTTTTTCTAAGCTTTTGCATCTCCTACTTATATTGGATCAGCTTTAACAGGTTTACAATGTTAAACACACAGGCCTAGTTAAACTCCATAATCGTGACGCAAAACACTTCTGGGTAGATAGGGACATATTTTGTTCTGTCAAAAACGAACAACAAGACAGGAGAAGCGGAACATGTTTTCTAATAATTACAGGCAATATCTGTCAAGCTCTCGTTTTGTGCGAGAAAATGCAATGTCAACTGTCTGCAGCTGTCTTATGTCAGTACCAAGCAAACTCACTTCCTTTCTCTGGCTGTCTCGCCTACATGTACGTGCTGTTATATATTCGCTGTGGGTTGGGTTTCAGTCCTAGTGTGTGTCAATGAGGAAGAAACCTGCTAAACAAGCTTACAGCCAGTCTGTTTTGTTTCATTATCTCGAGGGTGATCTCATTTGAGTCTGTAGTGGGAGAGGAGGACAAGACCTGGCTGTTAGGACAATCAAGTTTAATCCATTGACAATATCTGACAGAGGTTTACCTTAATAATACACAATTAACTAGATTACCAAAAGAAATAAAATAAAGTATTACAGTTGTTATTTCTTGACTTAGCTATTATTAACTTTGAGTGTAGGCGTGGCTAGTTAATATATTAATAGAAAAAGTTAACTCATTCAGAAAGCAGTGTATGTCATCGTATGAAAAACTAAAATTAAAGCATTACAGGAAATGAGAATTATAATTGAATGTGGGAGCTGGACAAGGATTTTAAAAAAGATTTGCACATGCACTTTAAAATGATAAAGATCATTTAAGCATAAAATGGTTGTAGAGAGAGTTCATGAATGGATAACTATGACAAGTGGACTATTGAGATGCCGCTATCAGCTCGCCTCATTGGCAAAGTAAAACCGCACTACATGTAATCATCCAATGGCCTAGAACATGTAATGCTAATGATCAGAATAGTGAATAATGCGTAGAATAGCGTGAGTACACTTACCTTCCTACAAAATTTTCCAAAACAGAACTCTTCCCTGCGCTCTGCCCACCGACCACGGCTATTTGCGGAAGGTCTAGATTGGCGGTCTGTCCAATGGAGCTGAATGCGTCTTGAAGTTTGTTAATGAGGGGAATCAGGTCCTCCATACCCCGGTTCCCCATGGCTCCTGCAGCTCGGGAGAACCTTCAACAGAACGAAAACCAGTGGCTAGTGATCGCCGTGCTAAATGGCTAGGTAATGTTAGCCTCGTAACAAGGTGCTCCCGGGTTAATTTGAAGAAGTCCCACGGCTGCGAACAGACTCTGCTGCGTTACCCGTGAATGCGTAACTGCGTAAAAGCGTTATAACTTAGCGTTGTGTCATATCATTTTCGTTTTAAATGACGTTAATTAGCTGGACAGCCGAAACGGGACGGAAAAGTCGCATAACAAAACTTCCTCTACACAGATATCCGGTCAAAGGAGACGACATCCGATCGACGCCGGTGACATGCGCCCGCCTCCTTCATCTGAGACTGCTCATTGGCTGAACGTGCTGTCAATCACTCCTCTTTGACTTCTGCTTGGGTTTCCAAAAGGCGTGTGCTCCACTTGAAATCATTTACTCATCTCACATTGGCCAATCCGCCTGTCAATTTTCACTCTGACGCGTCACATGCCCACTCCAACATGGCCGCCACCACAGCGCGTGAAGCTCAAATAAATAGTTCAGAAAACAGCATGCACGTAAAGAAAGCTTTATCTGCAGCGTCGCCTCTTACTTTGAAAATTGTAGCCGAGTGTCCAGTGACAAAAGCCAGAGCATGTGAGTTAATATTGCCCCACAGCCCGGTGAGCACCCCGGTTTTTATGCCTGTGGGCACCCAAGGAACCATGAAGGGGATCACTGTGGATCAGCTGGATGCCCTGGGGTGCCAGATCTGCCTGGGGAACACGTACCACCTGGGCATGAGACCGGTATGAAATCCTAAAATATATTGCGTGGCTTCAACATTTGCTTTTTCACACTTAATGGTTCACTAAGTAGTAGGGTGACCAAACGTCCCTTTTTACTCGGGACAGTCCCAATTTTGAGCACTGTGTCCCCTACCCCAGCAGATTTATCCAAAACCAGTGATTTGCCCCAGTTTTATAAAAGAAATGCCCCAGGTGTCCCTATTTTGGACCAATCTGACCCCTGCCAACAGTAAAGAGGGGCATACTTTGTCACTTGTTTAGGTGAAATGTAGAAAAACTGCTTAAAAATGAACAAAACACAAAGAAAATGTGACTATACTGACTCTCATTAGTGCCGAGTGCGTAACAATTTTCCTTACGTACTCGTTTCATAATTTTATTATTATCAACTAACCTAAACTGAAAGTTGTCCCAGTTTTTGAGTTGTAAATTCTGGTCACCCTACTAACAAAGCAAACTTTTCTGGTGAAGGGTCCACCACGTACTTTTCTGCATTCATATGTTATTGTTTTTGCTGGAATTTCCACAGTATGGCATTAAAGTCCTTGAAAATAAGCATGTGTTAGAGGAAAGCCTGCCTGCTTATTGTAAGAGTGCATGTTTTTTGAGGTACATTTGAGCAAGACAGCCACATATACTGTCATTAAGAATGTAAAATGGAGGACTTTAATGTCACACTGTGGAACATTCTAAGAAATAACATCTTGGCGAAAACATGTGACCTACTCTCCTTCTGAAAAGTTACATAGTGCACCTTTAAGGTTTTGCTTGTATTTTTCTGTATTAAGTTAGGTGTCTTTGTAATTACATAATCAACTCCTGCTTCACATTTTAATTAATTTCTTTCATTTTTGTAATGTAAGGGCCCAGAACTAATAGAAAAGGCCAATGGTTTACATGGGTTCATGAACTGGAAAAGAAATCTCCTGACTGTAAGTATTCATTTCAACAAATTTTGAGCAACAATGTCTCTAATTAAAAGCTGATATCATTGTCTTCTCTATAGGACAGTGGAGGATTTCAGATGGTGTCTCTTGTGGAGCTGTCAGAAGTTACAGAGGAAGGAGTCAAGTTTAAATCTCCCTACGATGGCAAAGAGATTCTACTTACCCCAGAAAAGTCTATCAGCATACAGAACAGTTTAGGTAAGGTGAAGGACTGAACTATTTTATTACATTGTTTTTATTGCAATAATAGATTAGCTATTTCCATCATACACTGAAGAGACTGAATAAAGATGAAGTGCAATAACCACAGGCATTTCTGAGCATGTTAGTAAACTACAGGTTTAACCAGTTTTATACATAAGACAGGGTTTGCTGGATTTTAGATGACTAAAGTATTGAATACATATTGGGGGCAAATAACATGAATATTGTTAAAATTCTGTTGAAATGTAGCAAGTTCAAGGGTCCAGTTACTAATGGAAATAAAGAAATTATTAGGTTAAATATTTGTGAACTTATTTTTTAGAAATTTTCCTTGAGAATACAAAGTAACCAACAGGGAAAGCTCTTTCTTGGCCGCCATCTGATAGTATAACATCAAATTCCACAATCTGAAAACTGCCAATTTATCTGGCAGCCCTAGCATTGACTTTGTTCAAAGATACAAAGGCATGTTGTACCTCTCCTATTTGGTTTTATTTGTTACACGTTTGTGCTGTGTCTGTTTTAGGCTCTGATATTATGATGCAATTGGACGATGTGGTGAGCAGCACAGTGACAGGCCCCAGAGTGGAGGAGGCCATGCACAGATCTATTCGATGGCTGGATCGTTGTATAGCGGCCAATAAGAATGCACACAAACAGAATCTATTTGCCATTATCCAGGGAGGACTCAACGCACAACTGCGGAAAGCCTGTGTGGATGGTAATAACTCTATAATTATATGTATTTGGAGAAAAAAACTTGCCTTTCCTGTTTTGCACTTACCTAGTGCTCAACTTTTGACACACAGAAGCATAAATTAACAATATCAGTAATATATTAAGGTTAAAATTTATTGAATAATTTAGTTTAAAGAAATCCTATATTTCTTCAATTAAGTTCTCTTTCAATAATTTCTGTTAATGATGTCCATATTCTTGGTAAAAATCTTCTAAACCTAGACTCCCCTCCAAACTGCTATTGACTTTATGTCTAACTATAATTTTGCTTTTTGCACCAAATTACCCAATACACTGACCCTGCCTGTGTTGATAACCCATTTGTTACTGATGTGTTGCTTTCTGTGGTGTTTGTGAAGCCTCATTGATTTTCTGATTAACATTGTGCCTTGTAGAAATGACCAAACGTGATGTTCCTGGTTTTGCCATCGGAGGTTTAAGTGGAGGAGAGGAGAAGGATGACTTTTGGAGAATGGTTACTTTAAGCACAGACCACCTTCCTAGAGAGAAGCCCAGATACCTTATGGGAGTGGGGTAGGCTTTGTTTTATTTTTTTAATGTTATTTTTATAGCAATAATAATGATCTTATTCATTTTGTTTTGGCAGGTATGCTGTTGATCTAGTCGTGTGTGTGGCTTTGGGGTGTGATATGTTTGACTGTGTCTTTCCAACTCGTACAGCGGTAAGCTATTAATTATGATGCAAAAATCGATAAGTCTCCAACCTTATTAAAATCAGATAGGTACAACTTAATATTCTAACAGTGTTTCTGACAGTGTTTTCTGTTTTCTTCAGAGGTTTGGCTCAGCGTTAGTGCCTTGGGGGTCTCTCCAGGTGAAGCAAAAACAATATGCTAAAGACTTCACGCCTATAGATCCAGACTGTGAATGTCCCACCTGTAAAAGGTACACAGAAAACCGCAATTACAAGCCCGTCAGCTATTGTCTGTTTGGCCTTTGGTGCATTTAAGTACTGTGTAACAACATGGTTCAATCACCTTTTCACCCCACTGCCTCTAGGTGGCATTGTTTCACAGCCTAGGTCAGATGTAGGGTTAATCAGCTGATTGGAAGTTTCTGTTTTGTACACGAATCATCCCAAACTTTATGACAACCTTAACTGCACTTTAACTATTTGACTTATGTCAAGACAGACTCAAGACAGACTCAGGACTTATTTTTGAAGACAGATTTGCTTTGTTCTGTGAGGCTCCCCAGCTAGTATTTTAAATTCCTCTGTATAATGTAAATCTGTTATTCGCTTCATCTGTTAGAGCTCAGAGATCATCATTAGTGGCAGTCTTATTGTTAAATGAATTTGTAATAACACGCATATTTAGAAATGCTGTCACTGGGTTTCAAATACCCCATATCATTTGCTGCTCTCATTACTAAATAGTATAAAATGGTCAATATGGAGTGCTCAAGAGAAGTGCTGCAGTGGCACTTTAGAGCACATCAAATGAAGATCAAATGAACAGTGTTGCTGAATGATCATGATATAACTCTAATGATTATATGCTAATGTTGCAGACACAGCCGGGCTTACCTCCACGCTCTGTTCAAGAACGACACTGCAGCTATGCATCACATCACCATCCATAACATCAGCTACCAGGTCAGTACACACCTTTATTATATCAGCTAAAACCTTACAATGAAAACAGTATACATGTATCTAGTGTCCATGTATACAGTGTCCCAGTTATGATCAGGTTTTTTTGAGTGTCCCGGTTTTGTGAGTGTCCATGTAACAGAAGTATCCTGATTTCATTACCTTGGATAAGCCAACATCCTGGTTATGACAAACCAGTATATTTTCATTGGGATATTCTGATACTGTGACATGTAGATGAATTATCCAGATTTTTCACCATTGGTGTCTTACGGAGCTAGCAAAGCTGGCACCATCTAGTGCCTCCGCTCAATTTCATTTTTCTCCAGCGACTAGGTCAGAAATTGGAATACACTAAATGGTTCACAAAAACCCTTGAAGTGAGAGTTCAGGCACCAGCCAATCAGCGCAGACCCATATATTCAGTGTTGTCAACGATTCCCGAGATCCAAGATTTAAAGCCGGAATAAATAGAATGTTTGGTGAATTTTATCAAGGGGAAGGACATTATTCCTATGGGATTTGGGAAAACTTAATATGTCAGTTAGCCGCATTAGCGGTGCATTACATACGTCACGACCAAATAGCAGCGATTAGTTAAATGAAAAAAGTACCCGTCTACCGTCAAGTGAATGAATTCTAACACTGCGAGGTCAGACGGTTTCTACGAAGTCAAACCGTCCGATGAATCAAGCTATTACTGAGCATGTGCGAAGTAAAAAAAAAAAAAAAAAAGGACGATTACGGAGGAATTGTCACTTTCCCAAAACTTTTACCTTACCAGACTCAAATTTTTATCAGGACTTTTCATATAAAAATATACCTGTAAACAACAAAAAGCAGTCTACTGTTTAATTCAACCACCTGTTAACACTAGGCTCAATTCTGTGGCTGTTTGTGTTACTCCTGAATTAAACTACCTTTTACTGAAACTATGACAATGCTCCACAGTCTTATGTTTTTAACTGAATGTAAATCTTTTTTTGTTGTTAAAAAGTACATCTGCCACATCTGTGCCATAGTTACCATAGCAACCACTCTAAATATTCAGAATTTTTTGATTGGGCATGTGTACAGGGATATGAGTATCCAGGAGTATCTTCTGGGCACTTGTAAACATCATATCCAGAATAGTGTCATAAACGGGATATGGCTCATAATCAGAATACTGGAGCGCAGTGTTTTTCTGTGGTGTGTTTCCACCTAAAAACTAAGTGCCCTTTAAAAGACAATCTCTGAATAATTTAGAATACCACAACCACTCTGATCTGGTCTGATTTGTTGGATAATGTTTTCTTGCTTATTGGCTTATTTTGCTTTTATTGGATTTCATTTGTACTTGCTTTGTCCATAACTGCTTTTGTTTCAGATGGCATTATAATAACAATGGTAATTTTTCTGACAGTTATATTTCTAAGTACACTCTATAACGTTAAATGCCAAATAGGTACTTTATGCAGCGTTTTTATATCTTCATATTGTAGGGTCAAGTTGGGGTCAGTGCTTTACTATTTGGATTCAGTTAAATGTCTCCAAATGGCATTTCAGAGCTGCTCTTACATCCTCATCTTGCTCTGTGGACAGTTGTACTTGCACTCTGCATTGCACACAGGATGTACTGCAAAGATGATTTCCCATTGGAGATCAATAATCACATCTGTCTTCTGCAGCTCACACTGATGCGCTCTGTTCGCCAAAGCATTGTGGACGGTCGTTTTCCAGAGTTTATACGGACATTCATGAAGAGAATGTTTTCTTCTCCAGACCAGTATCCCAGCTGGGCAGTGGACGCCCTGGCATCTGTCAACATCACACTGGATTAAGGACTGCAAAAGACCAACACAATTTTTCATGTCATATCACAACATTTTAATTGGACTTGTGTAAGACTGAGAGGCAGGCAGGTGGTAGCTGTTATTTTTTTTTCTAATGTATCTATGAATGTTTATTATCCAGCTCAGACCTGCTGCAGCCTTTCACCTCCTAACTCAATTTTAAACTAAAATTTCAAACTCAATTTCAGTAATAAGTAATAGACTTGATACTCAGAGCAGATTTCAATACCACCATGATCATTTAAAAAAAACGCTCTATGAACAATAGTAATTTTCAGCACAAAATAATAGCACTTTGCTTATGGAACCATGTGGTATCATACTAGTGCTGGTAAAGCTTATCACTACTCGTCACTACACAGCTTTTGTATAATCCTGTTATAAAACTGTTCAGAAAGGTAGCATTTTTCAGCCAATATGTTTTCAATGAGTATTTAGTACTGAAAACTACTTTTAGTATTGATGGTATATGATTTCTGATACTTCTGACTTCTTGTTCCATTTCATTAATATTGTCTAAGCCATCGTATCTGAAAACATGAAAACATCTGATTTGTATTTTAACTTGGGATCAAACTTTTTTTATGCATTTTGAGTCAGTTTTTTACTATCTGTATTGGTTGTTTCATATAAAACAGATTATGTCTAAATTACCCTCTAGGCCATAATGTGTTTTATTGGACTCATAAAAATGGCCTTTCTGGTCCATATTATGGTAATGCACAGCTCAGTGGGGTTTAAATGGGTTTAAAGACACAAACTATCAGCTCCCATTTACTCACACATTTTTTGTAGTTACCATGACGACCCAGACAGGCCCGCCCACTGGAAATGTTTGGCCTCACTGTCGTCCTCTGTCTCATTACTTCAGGCTAAGAGCATTGCCGTGGCATTTTGTATTTGCTCACGACAGACCGAGCATACATTTACTTTTTCTACCTCAGTGCTGTTGACTTCTTGTCTCATGTTTAAAATTTGACAGGTCTCTTTAGGCTGTATGCTTTTGTGATGGCCACAAGAGGGCAAAATATACAATTACCCTTCTAAAGCAAAAGTAATAAAGTTTAGATATGACATTTTAAAGTCAGTGTTCTTATAATAGATTTGATTAGCTTTATTTATTATTACTTATTCAAACCTAATGTCAAAACGTTGGTAGACTGTAAAATTTGAATATGAGCAGAGTGCAGTAGTTAGTATAATGTTTCTTTTATTTCATTTAGTTAAGCATAACACCACTATCAGAACTACGGGCTTTTGGCAGGAAGGCATTTACAAACAATAATGAATCCTACCATTCTGTTACTGTAACCAGTTTATAGTCACCAATAAAACAAGTGCATGTTTTTGATCAATGGAAGGAAGCGATTGCAGCATGCAGTCTTCATATATGTCATTCTGCTCTTTGCCCATAGAACAAATCACTTGAAATCCATTATATCCATCTCAGCTCTTTCAGAAGAGTTTGGAGCTACTCAATGAATTAATCTCATTATACAATCTCATATGTTTTTGTTAATATGGTATTTATGTCCCATTTTCAGTTGAATGAAATTTAAGATTGATTTAGCCTAGTTTAGCAGTATAACATTTTTGAAATGAAGTTACAGCTAGTTATATCTTTGTTCATGATCACTTAACCTGGCTCCAGAGGTCGGCTGTGGAGTGTCCATTTTGTCCAATTGATCCTGACCAGAGAAAATGCCATTAATATTAATTAGTGAAAGGTAATTTGAATAACACCTGTTGTCTGTGGCTTTGAGTCAACAGTTCTGTTAAGCAGCACATTTGAATTTCATTAGGGCTTTAATTGTGACTGGAGGCTGAACAAGATAAATATTGTGACCTTTAATGTGTGTCTGCCAAACTAACATTATGGCAACACTGTAGCCGACAACTGCAACCAGATTACAAGTTATGGGGTAAGTATAAGAGATGTGAGTGTATTTCTTTTACTCTGAAATACCTTAATTCAGTAAAATGCATACAAATTGCAATGTAGCCTACAAAACTGGTATGCCTAATGTACCTAATTTGTGTTATGAGAACGCCTTCTATCTTTACAATAAAATTAATTTACCTATACAGGCTACATTTTGTAATCCAGTCTTGACATTTCATTAGATAACTTAAAAGTGCACATGTATCTTTCCTGGTGGAGGTCTGCCACCTGCTTTTCTCCATGAAGATGTAATTTGCTTTGCTTGGAATGTTTCACAGTGTGACATTAAAAATATCTGTTTATTTTTTATGGCTCAAATGTACCTTGAAAAACAAATTCTTACTGTGAGTGGGATCCTCTCCACATCTGATTTAGCCTGTGCACTTACTTGCCTCCATGGGCCGTAATAATAATAATGTCATGCTTTGGAACATTTCAAGTCAAAGCAGTAACATCTCAATTAAGACAAGCAGGTGGCCGACTACCACCAGAAAAGTTACATATTGCAACTTCTAGTGGCTTGGGTAGCTGCGTAGTTTTAAGCGTAAATCTACAGTTAGGAGACACGCGTGACTGCAGACCTCCACTCAGAGGACCCAACCGGCTCGCTGTCCCCCACCGGGATGTACCTCCTCCACTTTTGATCAGTTTATTTCAACTCTCTTCGTGTTGTCTCCGCTGTACTTTGCTTTCGTAGGTTAATTTGCAATTTAAAGCATGTCAAAAATAAATAATCGTACAGATAGCGTACTTAGCTGGCAACCTGGCAACATAAAGCGTAAATAGGAATAAGATGTAGTTTGTTCGTGAATGTGTTGCCATGGCCCTATCTCTGGTTAAGATGGTTAAGGTTAGGCACAAATCTGTACTGGTTAAAGTTAAGGAAATAGTTTGGGCTTGTTCTTGTGTAAACCTATGTAAACTTTTGTAACGTTAGGAACAGTGGACTTTTTTTTTTTTTTCCACTTTTAGGGACCTGCGGCATAGAACTATAATACATTTTTATTATAGATCCATGACCTGTGGATGGAGAGAAGTCACGTGGGGGTCACCCTGGTGGAGGTGTGCGGTCGGGTCCTCTGAGTGGAGGTCTGCAGTCAGATCCCTGTCAGACTTTTAGCAGCTGATTTAAAGCGTGTAAATCGCGTTAAGCGCCTGAAATTGAAAGCACAGCCCAGTGATTGGGTGAACCCTCAATCCTGTGTTTCGACAAAAACTCACGATGAGTGCTGCCACATATTAGCCAGAGTTTTGAGGCATAACAACTCAAACTATGCGAAAACATAATTGGCTTCAAATTGTGCGCGTGGTGACAGGCGTTTATGAGCGTGGCTTCCTGCCACAGCCCGTCATGAAGACGTGCCTTCCATTCAGAGGAGCGCTTATTTTCATTATGTGAGTTTTTTATCCTGAAATAAGAAGTATCACCAAGAGTGCTCCCCGCTGATTGTTTGCGGATTCCTCGTCAGAGCATCCACGCGGAGCTCGCGCTGGAGACAGGGAGGATGTGAGCGCTGAGAGAGACAACCAGTTGCTCCTCAGATGTCACTGTCCAAGTGGAGCCTCCCCTACGCACCGTCGGATCAACGCTATCGACTTGTTGCCTCCGCGACACACAAACACGGGTTCAGCAGAGAAACACAAGGGAATAAGTTGATTTCTCTCCAAGGAAGAAACCCAAAGTCTAAGGATGAGGCGTATAATTGTATCGGATTTTTGTCTTCGGGTTGAATAGCAAAGGAGATAGTAGTGGAGTTGGTTGCTCTGTGGACGTGCAGCTCGCCGTGCTTCTGTCTCTGGGTGTTGAGGAGCAGCAGAAGGGGGACCATGGTTGAACTGGAGAAGGACGTGCTGCCTTTGCCCCCTCGGTACCGGTTTCGAGACCTGTTGCTCGGGGACTGGCAGGCCGATGACAGGTAATGAGACTTGGAACGTTTACGCACGGCGCGCGAAAAATGTGTCTCTGCGCCATGACCATTATTTAACCAAGAATTACATTTGTTATGCGTTTTTATGTTTTTGAGGTAACTTATGTTAAATATTGTTCCATTGCCCCTGTTTTAGTTGGCTGTGAAAGATAATGCAACAGGTTTTATTCAAAAACGACCACTGTTGGATAGTGATGTTGTACCGCAATTTGAGCGCAAAAACTTAAAAAAAAAGCTTTGTAAAACGACTTCTGGGAATGTACAAACAGGGAGCTCAAGTCATATGTCACTCATCATGTCTGCTCATTTCTTATAAATACTGAGATTTGCTGTGAACCATCTGCCACCTGGACAAGCAATTTCAGTAGGATCATCTCATGGTAATTAACCTTTGCTTACACCCCATTTGCAAAGCAGTGCAGGAGCTATAGCCTGTCGTATGCCTTGCTTAATTTGGCATTTTGCATCCTGTCTAATGGAAAACGTTAACCTCCATTTTACGCACGATGTCTCACGCTCATGTCTGTTGCCAGTTTAGTATAAGGTCCCAAAACACATGCTTGTAGACTTGAGTGGGTGCTTGGAATAAGATAATTGACGGAGAAGCTACAGGGAAAGCTGACCAGACTAGGTCCATGCAGCTCTGAGAGGATTTGGAGGAGGCAATGCTGTAACTACACAACATGTTGCCATAGGGACACAAAATGAGGCTGTTTATAGTGTACACAATCCATTACATCCATTACTAACAGTATTAACTCAAATGCGCTTCCCATAATAATCACAGAAGCAGTCCAAGTGAATTGTAGCCTGTTTTCCAACATTTTGTAAAAAGGAACTGTCTCCCATCACCAAAATTCTTGCATAACTTAGGCCGTACTTGTGCTCCTAAAATAGATAGTGGCGAATTGTTGCCAAACATTTTGACTACTAGAGTTGCAGTTGAAATTCTCAAAAATGGGTCCAATATTAAAGATTTACATAAGGAAAGCACATACAAATAAGTTTCCAAAATAGTGGATAATCTCTACAACAACAATGGAGATCTATTGAAGGTAAGAGTCAGTGCATGGCTTAATAATTAGCATTTGACACGAAAGGGCCCGAAGACTCAGTGTTTGCCAATGTATCTCAAAGTAATCAATATAATAACCTTTGGTGGTGGCAAAGGTTTATCCTTCTCCTGACAGGTTCCCTCAGATGCATGGTCAGATGGATCAAATGTAAAGTAAATTCAGGCTCTAAGCTAAGTTACAGGCCAGATCTATGGAGAGGTGACCACACTCACAGTAAGTTACACAGTGCACCTTTAAGGCTATTAAAAGTGTAGTCTATATAAACTGTTGCCTTGAGATTTCTTCAGTTTCACAGTTGTAATGATTATTTGAGCTCATTGTTTTTCCTGGTGTTGAATTGTTTCCACATATAGTCTAATGTAGTGCATGCTTTTACCCTTTAATTAACCCCTTGTCATAAAGAGTTGCATGCATTTACGTTTACAGGCTGCACATAAAGAGACAGGGGAAGTCAAAGAGCAACAGGCAGGTGGAAGGTTCATCTCAAAGCAAAGGGGAAATTAGTCGTTAGCTGTACATGTGGGGGATAGGGAGCAGAGATTGATAGTGGCAGGATGCTTAATTATGGCTGAGATGTCTGCCATGCCCCATTAATTTGGGAATATCCCTAATAGTGAAGAAGAAAAACCCACCTCTCACAGATTCGGCTTCTGTAGCTTGTAATCATTTTCTAGGAAGCTGCCTACTATGGAGGAAAGTGCTGCCAATTGCTATAATGTGGAGGTGTCTTTACCTGCACAGCTATCATGAATAATTTCAACATTTCTTCACACATCTCATGTCTAATTATAGAAAATGTATATGATTTGCAATGTACAGAAAAAAAATACTATAATAATAAAGAAATAGTTCATTCTCAAGATTACACACACTTTAAAATAGGCCTGCCATGATAATTACCATATTGACTTATCCTTCAATATATGAAAGCTGGAACAATAGCGTTTTTTTAGTGTCAGTATTTATCATGTGTACGTTTTCTTTGCACTGCTGGGAAATTTGGGGTTATTTTTTGGCTTTTTTGGATTTAAGTCATAAAAGATTGAATTAAAAACTTCTATGACATTATACATGCAAACTTAAGTCGTCTAGTAGTGTAGTGTTTCATTATGCTACTTATTTATTCATTGCAGCTCATGAATTTTATAAATACTGTAGATTTGGAATAATTTTTGTGGGTTTCAGTGGAATAAATTAGTTTCAGTATTATCGTATATAGCCGTGTATATTGTATCGTATATATTTTCTCCATTATTTCGCACTTCAAAATGTGTTTTTGTGACAGGCCTACTCTAAAAAGTGATATTTCTGGTAGTATTTTGAAGGTGCCTTAGCAATTAAATGTGCTCTTTGTTTTATATAACAATCAGGAATAACATTAGCTCTGACACCTTTTAATAAATCCTCTGTCGCCAATTTCTAACACTTTGAAAGACAAATGTTCCTCCCATTTCATCACATCAACTTTTATGGGTTCTTCACTTCAGACTATTTTTATTGGATGAAGAGACATTGGAGAAAGTTTTAAAATTTGATATGGGAATTCTCCTCATGTGGAAATGAAAGACTTTGCACCAAATACGAAATTCTCAGAGCAACGCCATAGATTATAAGTCTGCGTCTCGGTTATAATGAATTAGTAATGAAAACTAGCCTACAGTGTTTCCCACAATCTTATAATGAGAATATGGCGGCACAATCACTGTATTCTGTAAAAAATATTAAGAATTACCTTTAAATACATAAAATAAAACAGGCATAGAGTATAATTAGTTTTTCCAGGTTTTTGTTCAGATAAATTTTTGGCTATGGGCGCAAAATTAGACTACGGGGGGCCACCACAGTCTCCTCTATTATTGGGCAACACTGCTACAAGTTTTAAGATTGCAGAATCGTCAAAGAGACAGACTAATATACAAATTCCTGCCACAAGAGATAGAGAAGAGAAGACTGTTTCATTACATTTAGCTTGAACTCCGTGCTTGTTGACTTGACCTGAACACTGTAACGTTACCACTGCAACTCAACAGGCGTTCAGTATAATATCCTTTTTTCCAACTAGTAGCTTCAAAATTCCTTCAGTATCTATTGTTAAACCCCAGTGGCACCCTTCAACACTGTCTCCCTCTGCCCTCTCCTCTGTCCTCTGCATCAGTTCTGATTGAAGGCTCTTCAAAAACTACTCTCTTCTTCAGCCCGTCTTGGAGAAATGGCCTACATTTTTATCTCCCATTAAAAGTCTCTTAAGTCGAGCATTCCCTGCACTGAAAGAAATGGATTCTTTTACCTCACTTTTAAGTACACACACATGTCCATTTCTTCTGTCATCTACAAAAGCTTTCTGAGCTTTTATTATGTCTCATGTTTCAAGGTAGTTCAATTGTCCCCAGGCAGGATTTGGCATTTGCGCTCACTGATTTATTTAATTGCGCCAGCTATAACAGCTTTACTGTAAGTTCACATTGTTTTATGCAAATTCAACCTCAGGATTTGCCACCCATGATTATGCAGCTTCCATATAGTGATTTTCGAGGTGTGCCTTCCAACTGATTGGGCTTAGGTCAGAAAAGTAGAAAAAAATTATTGCTCTCAATGAATAAAATACAGCAATACTACATGTTTTTGAGCATGTCTGGACAAATGTTCATGGAAGACATTTAGAAATATATACGCACACTAAAATACATACATGTATATTTGTTATATTGGTTTACACTGTATATTGAAGATTCTATTTACTATGAGTGAGTGGGCACATGCAGGCCCAACAGTTGTTTGCATTAAACTTGAGATTGGGCTACTGCCGTTGTTTTCTTGGCATTTGGAGCCATGTCTCATCCGTCTTTCTTTGTAAATAAACCCAGAATAAAACTTAGTGAAAAGTCTGCTGGCATCAAAACACAGAGTGGATTTGCACAGAAAGTTCCACATACAGTGGACTTGGGAAGGAAGTTGACAGACTAAAATAAAAGAGAAGTGGGCTTAGTTCTGTTCATGTGATCGATAATATCTTTACTCAGCATAAGAACTATACAGCCATATAACATGAAGTGTAGCTGATGAGTTAAAGGTCCTATAGTCTGCAAAAATCCTTTTGTCATGCTAGCACATTGTTACCTCCTCAAAAACATATCTGGAGTTGTGTTTTGGTCCATTCACACATTTTTAGTGAATCCTTTATTATTAGTCTGTCTACATCTCTAAAACTCAACATACTCTATTCCACCTTGTGATGTCATTTTGTGGTAGTTTTCAACTTAGCTGCTGTCTTTCACCTTTTGTTCTGTAGAGATTGGAAATTCCAGGAGATCATCCAGAAGATTCCAGTGAAGATGTGTGGAATTTAAAAATGCAATGGAGCACTTCCTGTATTACCAAATGACATCCCATAGTGGAGCAGAGTGTTTTCAGTTTGAGAGCAGAAGCCTAAATATGCAGGGTTTGTGTTAAACGTGTGAAAGAAACTAAACACAACTCCAGGTATGTTTATAATGAGGAAACAACATTATAACATAGATCAGAATGTAGAATAATATAGGGAAAAAAATATATATATATAAAAAAAGAAAGTATAGGGAAAGTACCTCACAGCAAGAAGGTCCTGGGTTCAATTCCTGGGCTCTGAGTTTTCACATTCTCCCTGTTTCTTGGGTAGGTTTTTAATTAAGTTTTCTCCATCAGCCTAAAGACACACAGTAGGTTAATCTGGTACTGACCTGGATCTTGGCTCAGAATCTGGAGATGGTTCCCTGTCTGGGCATGCCCACTGCTCCCAACAGTTTGCCCCAAAGCACGGGTTGAAGGGCAAATTTCTGTCAGCACTTAACTCATTTTAAATCCTCTAACTCTGACCAGTATCTCTCCAACTTTGCAGCTCTATTTCAGCCTCACCCTTTCTCACTCTGTACATGC